TGGTTTTACAATACTTTTCTTTTTACTAGAAATAGAGTTTATAAACATTTCATTATCTGAATCATTATCATCAGCCATTGAATCTGACTGAATAGCATTATATGCTGCTTGTGACTGAGGATTGATATTTACTTGTATGGAACTTGAGTCTGATAATTCTGAATCTGTCTGCGATTGCATTTCTTCTGAATGTGCATAACTTTGAGCATTTTCATTATTTGAAATTTGTTGTTGTTGTCGAAGATGTTTCTGTAATTCAGCTAATGGAATATCATCTTCACTATCAGAATTTGACCTTTCTTTTCTTACATTCTTAGCAACTTGGGGTAATACTGATTCTGATATTTCTGAAGCATCATCAGTATCGCTATTTTCAGGTGTTACTACAAATGTGGCATTTCTTTTTGGTCGGCCAGTATCATCTGCTTTTGGTATTGACCAGTCATTAATATTTGCGAGCCTATTTTGTTCTGCATGGACTTTAACTGTTGAATTGTCAAACTGATTTTTTATTATATAAGTTAATGGTGACCTTTTCTCCATAATTCTATAAAATGGCTTCCAATTCACATCTAGTTTGCTTCTCTTACGAAAATTCTTATAGAATACTGAATCGCCTATTTCAAATTTGATATGTTTTGCAGTCTTATCTGCGTAGCTAGCTTGTTCGCGTTTAGCTTTTTTAAGGTTCTTATAAACAGATAAAAAAAAGTATTATGTTGTTGTTGATGTACGATCAGGCAACTGGAATAGCAATTGTTCATGTGAACACGGGTATCCATGTATTTATTCGAAGAGGTAGGGGCAGTGGCTGCACCATACACGATGGCATGTCTCGACCAACGTTTACAGGATGGAAACTGTTTTAATTACTTGAGATACTAAGTAGATTTTGCCTGAACTTAAAGTATATTACATGAAATTTATATATTTTGTTCCTTTTTTTAAAGACTGCCGTTGTTACGAGGCAAGAAAAAATAAGATAAGGAAAATAACCTATTAGAACCAAATATCATAAGTTTCAATTTCTGTTGATTTAAACTTAACACTTCTCAACAACAAATGTTCATACTGCGATCTTATATCTAAAAAAAATAAGGCACAAAATACCAAAAGAAACAGCTGTCAATTATGTTTGTTTTCCTTTGTAAGAAAAACATATTTTATACCGAAATCTTATATTGGATATCTCCCCATTGCCATGTTATCCTGGTAATACTCTGCAAAAAGAAAAGTTTCAGCTAAATTGATCCAGACTTATTTATTTATTGCAGAACAATCGGGTAGATATTGTGGCTGATTTCTACTATTTAGTGTCTTCGTGTCTTCCGCCCCTAAAAGTCGAAGGCAAAGTAATATGCTCACTTATAGATTTTTCGCTTTTGACTTTTGAGAGCGGCGACGCGAAGACAAAATGCATTTTAGGCGAAATAACCATATTTCAAAGGCGAAGACTTGACATCTTTTTCTGTACAAGTATCGTGTTGGTGCGTAGTGCGTAGTGATCTTCGTGGCGGCACTTTATATTTGTTGTGTCAATTTATCGAGTTTCATGTCGTCTTGTCTTTGATCCGAAAACCGAAGACACGTTACTGACAATGTTTCGTGCCGTCGCGTCTTCGCCTTCTGGTAGACATACACAAATATATTAAACATTATTTATAAAATAACATTGTCATTATTGTGAAATTAAATATTTATTCAGTAGGCACCAAGTCCATTTTTGCAATAGGCTATATTCCCACTTTGTTTACTTCAAGTCAGCATATGTGTTATTATTTTGGCGCATGTCTACCCGAAGGCGAAGACACGACGACACAAAGATAAATTGGTCGATTTTCGTGTCTTCAAAATTTTTACCGGCCGACATGTATCCGACATGTTTATTTCACCTAAAAGGTATTGTGTCTTCTTGTCGGCGCACACACATGTTGAAGGCAAAGACTTAATAGCAAGCATATTATCGTGTCTTTGTGCCTTTGCCTTAGTCTTTGTAGAGACAAAGACACGAAGACAAGATATGCAGAAATAAGCCACCATAGGCAGATATACGACAATTGAATATTTCGATACAACAGAAATAGGTTTTTACAATACCTTTTATCGGCTTTGTTTGAGCAGTTTACTAAAAGTATTGTAATTACCGTAAACAATTTTATTAAAAGTTTGTTTTTTCTGCCATTAGAAAAATAATGACCACGAAGAACAATGAATACATAAAAATAAGGGATCACAAAATTAATTGCTGGCATATGAAACAAATTTCTTGTGTGTTATACAATTTACTGATTTCAACGAGTAACATCGCAACGTGATAACGTCCTTACGTTGCAATTTTCATGTTGAAGGTTTTTACACTAGAATTTATAGTTTCGTTTCGTTGCATTTTAACATAAAGTGTGAAATATTTATGTCTTGTAACTATCTTTCACAGTTTAGTTATGATGACACGTTTTTAAGTGAAGTATCCTATTATTTCTTTTAGTATCCTATATATTATTTCTTTTCATTTCTGATATGATTCTTCATCGCGTGATATCAGTTAAGATTTTGAACAATTTAATAGTAAATTGTGGAGAATATTTTTTCATGATATTTGTCAGTAATTAACTGAGAATAATGCAGAAAAAAAGAAATATACACATGTTTGATGGTCGTCAAACAGGAAAGTATATGGGGACAAGGCAGAGCGACGTCCACAAAACACAGCCACCGACAAAATTCAGTCACAATGGACCAGTGAAAAGGTACCTAGTAGAACATCGAACACAGAAGACAGCCCAAAAGTCATGGGGTTGGCGTGCAAATAAATGATAGCAATTTACAACTTAACAAGGAAATCAATACAAAAATCATTCACGTGAAAATAACATTTTTACTGTGTAAAATTGTAAAGAAATAAATTTTATAATCATTGATCTTTTTGCAATTTAATATTTGACAAATCAATGACAAAAAATGAGCAAAAAATTTTTGTGTATTGAAACTTTATTTTGAACATGTTAAAACATTTATACAGTATTGCAGAAACATACTTTGTCTTTATTGCTGAACTTCAAAACTTACAGATTGGATTAAAGAGTGGAAGAACGACTAGAATAGTCGACATTCAAATCGTAAAAATATGAACAATACCAATTTATATCTTCAATAACGGCAAGAAAGCTCAAACCAAAAACCGAATGTGTCATTAGCATGATGCTTTCAGTATGAACATATTCAAAAATTTATACTAAGCGATCTGGACAGAATATGGGCGGACGTTATGAATATTCGTGACTCAGTAGCCATTTTGTCAGCTTGCAACTTCTCACTCGCGAAAACAAAGTGTGCAAACACTTCCCGTCCTGCCTCTTGATGAGTAACCAACAAAGGTTCAGCCTATTTTGACAAGCATGTTCCATTACCTTAACAGACGGTTGCAAGATAACGTTACGTATCAAGTACATTTATCTCGATATGTACGTTCCATGTTTAAGTTACGGACATTGCAGAAAAGTTCAGATCAAAGGATTTTGACAGATATCATTTGTGATTGAAACCATTTTGTAGAGAGCCATCTTAAGCTAATTTCTACAGAGAATAGCAAAACATATATAAGCATATGATCAGTAGGAGCTGGGTTTGAAATGAAATACTAGATTATGACGAAAGACGATCTACTGACGATAGTCATCAACGTTCACAATAACTTACCTCTGAATTCTTTGAGCTAAGGTGAGCTATAAAAAGTGTTAGACAAAGTATTTAAAGCATACGACAGTTCTATAAGCGTATATTTACTATTATTATCATTTAACTCTTGATTTATGTATGACACATGTTTCAAATGTTATCAATATAGGACATTGTTTTGACAATAGAAGAATTTCCGTATATACTCTTCATGAATTACGAAGCACTTTGACTATTATAATCAGGTTTAGGAACTGCGTCGTATACATACGCTGCCATCTTTGTTTAAAAGGGTTTTTTGTTTTTGTTTAATCCCTTTTTCTGTTGGAAATCACTAATAATCTGATAAACTGATTACATGCCAAGCTTTTTTCGCTTCGTTTGGTATATGTTACTGGCAAACGTATTTCGTCGAATAAAAGAATAGCGAAATTTGAACTCGAAGCGGAAACGAATTTCCCACAGTTTTGAGGCTACAATGCAGTTCATGTCGCTTTATCCATCGTTCCCCCCTCCCCCAGAAACTATTTCTTTCAAAGTTTTAAAAATCAAACATAACATTTTGCGTTAGTTAATGTGTCATTTAAAAGAATTGCCTTTTCTACTCCAAAATCATGATTTGTACAAAATATTTATATGTTAAGTATAGAACACAACAAAAACAGATTAGATCATAAAAGAAGACTTAAATCTTTCCACAACAAAGATATTTGACAATGCATAATAAGTTACTAACGTCATGGCGCTGTTTAAGGATGTGTAATCTATCTATACCATTCAAATTTGTCTTTTGTTAGGCACTAACCGCGTATCCATACAAAGCCCAAAAATCGCATACTTTCGAAAATAAATTGCAAAAACAATAACAGTAATAGAAAAATATTTATAAACATTGTTAAGGATCATTGAATGAAATAATGAAATGAAGCAATAAATATATTGTCCAGATACTCTTCTAAAACCCAAACAAATCCATTTAGGATCCCCTTTTTCATTTCCAGTACAAAAGTTTTTTGTAGTACAGTTGTTAAATACTACAAACCCTCAACATCTTTCCTCACCTTTATTTACCGGTATTCAGTAATACATACATTATTCTTTGTCAAGAAAAAAAAGTCCATTCTAAACAATATTTCCATTGATCAGAATTTAAATGTTTAAACATGCTTCATTTAATTCTTAAAAAACAGAGAATACCAATTAATTATTTTGAAAACAGAGAATATCTGTTGAAGGATTTATGTTAGTATGATAATTATATTTCTAGTGAGGACTTACGGTTGGCCAGCATGAAAAAGTGTATACGTTAAAAGAAACTATGGAAGCAGGTTTTAATATTTTTATTTCACATAACATAGTATTGACACAAAAAATATACTTAAACTCCATATTTATACCATGAGCAAAATATACTAAAATCAGTTACAATACATTACAGTTGTCTTCTTTGTTAACATGAAGGATTTATACTTGTTACTATCCAAGTGCTCTAATAATAGTATTACAATAATTTACACCTTCAAACTCCGGTTTCTGAAAACTGTGTTTGACCATTTTATGGCCTTATACATTGAAGCATGATATAAATTGACTATAAGGAAAAAAAAGTTATCTGTGTTCCAATTAAATCAGTAAAATAAATACTTTCCTAACATATGTTATCAAATATATCAAGTTCTTGTCTTGTAAAATCAAACCATTCCATTCTCTCTTAATAACTATTTTATATTACATTTACCATCAACAACAAATCTTTCATTTAGTGAAAATCTAATATCTCAAAGAAATAAATCACTAACTGAAAAAAGATAATGTGGTTTATCTGTCATGTAACACAATTACAAATTGTAAGAAAACAATCAGTTTATACAGACTTTTTATATTGGACATCTCCAATTGTTATGATTTACTGTAAATTTCCTGCATGGTTTGGCCGTGAAATCAGCCTGGTTCTTTTATTCAAATTTCAGTGTTTTGCTATCATAATTGGATCGATAATTGCCTATAAATTGTTACAAAGGTTTCCTTTTTTGAAAAGATATTATTCATGTAATGTGTCAAACAATCAACTGTTCAAAAACAAATTATTATTGTTGATCACAGTTAAACTATGATACAATCTTGATCATTTTTCTTTTAGAATATGTACAGTATAATCTCAGTTTGTCAATCCTTAAAAATATAGATTTGAGTTTTTCTTATCCACTTCCATTGTCAAATTCTAATTTAAATTCAAAATGATTACACACTTTAACTCTATTTAGTCACTTTTTGATCAGTTTTTCTAAGCCGGGTTTATTATGAACTCCCATAACTTTCAATAAATGTGTAGCTTCCTCATTGGCCTGAAAATAGAAAATAAAAACATTTTTAATATTTTTCTTTTTGATTTGTTATCAACTTGAGGTGACGTGCATACAGCTGAACTTACTGCTGTCATCATACCATGTTACAAAAAGTGAACCTCTTTATAATGTTATAAAAGGAACAAAACATCTCATTACTAATACATGTATGTTACAATTGATACCTCTTTACTTATACATGTATGTTACAATTGATACCTCTTTACTCATACATGTATGTTATAATTGATACCTCTTTACTCATACATGTATGTTATAATTGATACCTGTTTACTCATACATGTATGTTATAATTGATACCTCTTTACTCATACATGTATGTTACAATTAATACCTTTTTACTCATACATGTATGTTACAATTAATACCTTTTTACTCATACATGTATGTTACAATTAATACCTTTTTACTCATACATGTATGTTACAATTGATACCTCTTTATTCATACATGTATGTTACAATTGATACCTCTTTATTCATACATGTTTGTTACAATTGATCCCTCTTCACTCATACATGTTAATTACAATTGACACCTCTTTACTCATACATGTATGTTACAATTGATACCTGTTTACTCATGCATGAATGTTGCAATTGATACCTCTTTACTCATACATGTATGTTACAACTGATACCTCTTTACTCATGCATGAATGTTACAATTGATACCTTTTTACTCATACATGTATGTTACAATTGATACCGTCTTTACCCATACATGTATGTTACAATTGATACCTCTTTACTCATGCATGAATGTTGCAATTGATACCTCTTTACCCATACATGTATGTTACAATTGATACCTCTTTACCCCTACATGTATGTTACAATTGATACCTCTTTACTCATACATGTTGATTACAATTGATACCCTCTTTACTCATACATGTCTGTTACAACTGATACCTATTTACTCATACATGTATGTTACAACTGATACCTCTTTACTCATGCATGAATGTTACAATTGATACCTTTTTACTCATACATGTATGTTACAATTGATACCTCTTTACCCCTACATGTATGTTACAATTGATACCTCTTTACCCATACATGTATGTTACAATTGATACCTCTTTACCCATACATGTATGTTACAATTGATACCTCTTTACTCATGCATGAAATGTTGCAATTGATACCTCTTTACCCATACATGTATGTTACAATTGATACCTCTTTACCCCTACATGTATGTTACAATTGATACCTCTTTACTCATACATGTTGATTACAATTGATACCTCTTTACTCATACATGTCTGTTACAACTGATACCTATTTACTCATACATGTATGTTACAACTGATACCTCTTTACTCATGCATGAATGTTACAATTGATACCTTTTTACTCATACATGTATGTTACAATTGATACCTCTTTACCCATACATGAATGTTACAATTTATACTTATTTACTCATACATGTTGATTACAATTGATACCTCTTTACTCATACATGTCTGTTACAACTGATACCTATTTACTCATACATGTATGTTACAAACTGTACACCTCTTAACTCATAAATTATAACTGTTACACGTCTATACTCATATTTTACAAATGGTGCTCCTTTTTACCAATGCACAATTTTCAGTTTTAAATCAACCAGTAACCTGCTGAATTTGTGCAATGTATTTTACATGCTTTGAAATTGGATCAGACCATTAAAATCTAAGGCATTTTATTAAAATACAAATATTGACCCAATAACAGTAACTAGAAATGCGTCCATAGGACACAGGTGCCCCTACACTCCATGGTTTTGTCAAACTTATGACTGTAGGTCATACATTTTTTCAGCTACACATGGCACAAGTTGAAAACTAAGTCAAAGGCAAGAACTTTACAAATACAGAATAAATCTACAAGCAAACCCCAAGGTGCATAAGTATACATGCTAACATTCTTGTAAACTTTCAGACCTACAGGTCAAGTACTTTTCGAGTTATGTATGAACAAGTTGAAAATTGAAAATTTATATTAAGTCAAGGGCAATAACTCTAACAAAACTGAAAAATTCCATATGCAAAACCCAAGGTTCAGAGCTTGTGAAAGTGATGTTGATCATTATTCCTGTTAGTTAAGTTGGTATATAACACATCATAATGGAATGGTTTTTACTAAGTCAAGGGCTATTACTCTTCAAATACTGAACAAATCCTAAATCAAACCCAATGGTGCACAACTACATACGCCAACCAACATTACTGTAAAGTTTCATGACTTTAAGTCAAATACTTTTTGAACTACACACGACCCAAGTTGAAAATTGCAGATTTTTACTAATTCAATGGCAATAACTCTGACAAAACAGAATAAATCCACAAGCAAAACCAAAGTGCACAACTACACATGCTGAGCAACATTCCTGTAAAGTTTCATGACTCTAGGGTCAAATAAGTTTTGAGCTACGCACTTTGAAAATATTTACTAAGTCAAGGGCAATAACTGTGACAAAACAGAATAAATCCACAAGCAAAACCCCAGGTGCACAACTTCACATGCCGAGCAACATTCCTGTAAAGTTCCATGACTATAAGTCAAATAGTTTATGAGCTACGTGCGACAGAATTTGAAAATAGCAAATTTTTACTAAGTCAAGGGCAATAACTCTACAAATACAGTGTTGCATCTAGAATTTCAAAATTATGGGGGATAGAACCCCACTCAACTGAAAAGTGTGGGGGATTTGAAAAAAATGTGGGGGACATACATTTACCTTACACTATGACTTATCGAAAATAATTCATTTATTTTACGTTCAGGCATTTTTAACAGCTATCGTCCGCTCAAAAACGGAAGTAGAAAAATAAAATATTGACGAATACTACAAAATACACGCGAGATGACCCAGTCGGCTGCTACACGCTTTTTAGCAAGTATTTTAGTCATTACCACGAGTGAAAACAAACATGGCTGAAGCTTTCAAGACACGATGAAGATAAACTGAATAAAGTTAAAAAATTGTCAGATGCGCGACTTGGCGCGTGTTGACTTCATTAAAATGCGCGATCTGCATAAAATATGAGCAAATCGCGCAATCGCGCAGCCTAGATGCAACACTGCAAATACTGTATAAACCACACACAAATACCCAGGTGCACAACTACACATGCTGACTAACATTCCTGTAAAGTAAATTGCAACACAACATGAGAATGGACAGACAGAACGAAGGATAAATAAAATCAGGGTAACTCTATATGTCCCCCTATAGTGGGCACACAAAAAGCCAGGTCAAGCACATACAAATTATGTGCAGGCAGGCTGACTTGGTCCCATTTTGGAGGCAAATGCTCTTGACTTTTGGTTCAAGCAAGTTAAAGGCTAAGTTGAATATTACTTTTTGTAGAAATACACACAAAATATACAATTCTACCACAAGTTTGCATGAATAATATAAGAGAACATACAAGCGGGGTTAAGCTAAAATTTATTAAAATATTTTTGTAGGAAATTTTTCATGCTTGAACTCCAAAACATTATTTTACATAATATCAAACAACTGTGCTATATTTGAAAAATAATGCTTTAATCAGAAAAAAATAACATGTAAAGCAAGATCTTGCTAAATGTCTGTTGATTTTCATTACACAGCAATCTAATTACCTGTCATCCTTTTATCTGAAGATGTACATTCTCTTAACCTTTCAACTTGCAATTGTTTTTCTCTTTGAGGTTTACTTTCAGATTTATTGGGGTTTTTTTTGTTTTGTGTTTGGTATTTTTTTGTTGTTTTTTTTTGTTTGTTTTTTGCGAAGGGAGGGGGTGTTTATTTGTTATTGTTGTTTTTTGTCTTGTTTTGTTTTACTGGTTAAAATTAAGTGATGTGAATTTTAGAAAAAAAATCAAAGTGTGTTAACAGTGTCAGACATAGATGAACAATGACTTTCAGTTGCTGTATGTCTATTAAGTTTCATAAATGTTTTTTTTGTTGTTGATTTTTTGTTTGTTTTTTTTTTGCTGTTGGTTTTTTAAACACATGAACACATTTGTTTTGCAGGAGACATAATTCATACAACAAGTTTATTCCAAAGTTAAATTATATATATTATTTTACAGTAGTATTTAAACATTATCTTAAATAACATATACCAGTTTTCCCTTGTTTTTTCACTTTTATGTTTTTATTCATTTATGTTTTATTTATGTTTTATTTATTTTTTTCTTATTGTTTTCTTATTATAATTATTCATTTATTAGTTTATTATTTTTGCAAATTTATATATTTTTAGTCATATCACAGCAGTTGATCCTAGATAAAAGGCTTTCCTGGGTAACTAACCAGTAATTACCAATATCTCTGCAAGTGACCAACCACTTATCCCACTGGATATTTAAATAACGTTACATGTTACTGACCTAACTGTTCAAAAATAAAGGTAAAAACTACACTTTTCACAGTGGTATTGACCTACTTATTTCAGCATATTTCATCATTTGTCGGATGGTGGTTTCTTTTGTGTAAGCATTTTAAATAAACAGCCTGCTTCATCATTTGCCTAAAATACACAAATACTACAATAAATATTGCTTCCATCCAAAAGAAATTATGGTCAAACATATTTTCTTCTGGTACTATATACATGGAAGCTAAAACGAGAATCATATCTTCTGTTCTGAACTTTAAACAGACGCTTAAGCCTTTAAACAATGATTCTGCATATACATGTTATTTCTTTTAGGTATGACCACTTTAACAGGCACTATAGGGAACTGAAAATTTGACAACATATGTCGGATATAAACCTTAAAGGGCACCTGTGTAATAAGGGTCACTATGCAAAATTTACTGTACGGAAATCAAGTTATGGCCACTTTTCTGAACTTAAGTTTGGACGTTAGAAGAGCCCTTTTTCAGAATTAAGGAACCTTAAAATATTCTAAAATAACATCCATATGAAAAATGTTTTCCTGTTAAATTCCGGCAAGAAACAAAATTTAACAATCAGCTAACAATCCACATAAGTAGAATGATTGTTTCTACTCAAGATTTATGAAATATGTATAAAAATGTTTCCTCCACCAATTTTTTAACATGTGTTTGACCATTTCACTACTTTAAGAAACTGATTTTAAAAAAATCCCTAAAAAATACCAAAATGAATGCCTGTTTCAATGTTTCCCTAAATTTTCCAACAAGTACTAGTATATTGGTTGGTCTTGTAAAATATTAAATACTTTTATTGTGTAGTTTTGATTATATTACAGACCTGTACCATATTTGTTATTAGATTAAGCATTATTTAGCCAATAAATACCTACATAAATTAAATAATTAAAATTAAATACTTTCTGAATAATGTTAAAAGAAAGAAGAAAAAAGTTGACCCTTCTAAGGTTTGAACCAAAGGCCCTAAGTTTCAATGTAGTTAACAGTAGTTCTAGCCTATTTGAATAATCTTCATTATTAGTGAAGTTGTAATTTCATACACTGTTGTTAGGATAATTTCCACGGAAAATTGATTTATTAGGGTAAAGAATTAAAAATATGATTCAATATGGAAGAATATGCAAGAAAAAATATGTGACATATGTATGCAGTCCGGATCGGAATATCTGTCCCTCGGCAACCCTCACATGGGCAGGTCCCCTCTGGACGGATATTCCAATCCAAACCACAACATATGACAGATATTATTAATATTTATGTTTATCATATTTACCTGTTTGTCATCTGGTGTTTTTACAGGATGGTTTATACAACGTGTCAGGTATGTCAAGGCCATTTCTGCATCTTTGAGCCTCATGTATGTTTTACCTAACATCAGTAAATTCATGCTGTAAAAGTTTGGTTCAGCTGCAATGACATAATAAACAATTAGCCCTTTTACAAATGAATAAAGAAACAATCAGCATAAACTTTCAAGGTGCATGCCTCCATTTGAGCCATAATATTTCAAGAAAAAGAAAACATTAGAAAAATGTTCTAAAAAAAGTTTTATTTCTGGTCTTCTACCTTTAAAAAAAGTGGTAGGAAGGTTGTATTTTTTATCTTTTATAAAATGTTCTATATACAATAAAAAAAAAGATTTTGAAAAGAAAATGCAATTGTAAACAAGAGGGCCATGATGGCCCTGAGGTCGCTCACCTGTATATAGGCCTCCCCCCCCCCCCCTGGTAGGGCCAATTTTAGTCCAAGGGCTTTTATTTGAACAAACTTGGTAGACACTCATAAGAAGATGTTTCATGCTAAACATCTAAGCTCTGAGCTCATTGGGTTTTTTCAAAGAAGATTTTTAAAGTTTTTACTATACACATATAGTTAAAAACAATGACACCACTAGGGCGATGCCAGTTTTGACCCCAGGGCTTTTATTTGAACAAACTTTGTAGACAGTAACTACAAGATGTTTCATGCATAATATGTAAACTCTAGCTATTTCGGTTTTTTCACAGAAGAGTTTTAAGTTTTTGCTATACACATATAAGGAAAATCAGTGACCCCCGGGGCGGGGCCAATTTTGACCCCAGGGCTTTTATTTGAACAAACTTTGTAGACACTCACTAGAAGATGTTTCATGCTTAATATCTAAACTGTAGCTATTTGGGTTTTTTCAAAGAAGATTTTTAAGTTTTTGCTATATACATATAAGGAAAATCAATGACCCCCTGGTGCTGGGCCAATTTTGACCCCAGGGCTTTTATTTGAACAAACTTGGTAAACACCCATTAGAACATGTTTCATGCTTAATATCTTAGCTCTAGCTCTTTGAGTTCTTTAAAAGAAGATTTTTTAAGTTTTTACTATGTGCATATAGGGAAAATTAATGACCCCCTGGGGCGGGGCCAATTTTGACCCCAGGGCTTTTTTTTTAACAAACTTGGTAGACACTCACTAGAAGATGTTTCATGCCAAATATCCAAGCTCTAGCTCTTAGGTTTTTTTGAAGAATATATTTAAAGTTTTTTTCTTTTGGTTGCCATGGCAACCAGAGTTCTGCATGGAATTAAATTATTTGAACAATTTTAAAGGTGACCACCAAAGGAACATTCCTGTGAAGTTTGGATGAAATTGGCTTAGTGGTATATGAGGAGATGTCATTTAAAGTAAAAGTTTACGGACGGACGGACGACGGACGGACGACGGACGCTGGACGGACACCGGACGAAAAGCGATCACAAAAGCTCACCCTGCAACTTGGTGACAGGTGAGCTAAAAAAAGGTCTAGGTTTGGCAGTTAAAAAAAGAGAAGGTAAAAAGAACCATAATTGAACTCTTATGACCTTTCTCGAACTGCAGAATTACTGGTACAAAAGACAGAATAGTTGTCCATAGCTTCAAATCATATAAAATGTTATTGACAAAAATTTCCAAAAGCAAAAATTTAATCATTCTATTTAATATGACTTCTTTTCACAAACATTTTTTGCCAAAACAAACTTCTAGTGAAATACCCAGTAATCTAGAAATATTGATTTTCAAAATTCAATATCAATTCAATAAAATAATATTAAATTTGGAAAAAGAGACTTCAAGATTATTGGAAATAAATATATTCTATCACCTTGTAGAGTTTCTAATTGAAGTGTTGTTTGAGTTACTTTACTACAAACAAGAGCTATCAGTCAGATAGCATGCTCGACTACTCACAGTGCTCTATAGTAAAACAAGAACCTAGATAATGTTTAATTTTCACAGTTCAAAAAGGGCCATAAATCTGTCAAAATCCTTGTTAAAGTTATGGGTGGTCTTGAACAGCAAATGCTCTCAAATGAGTGTGTAAAGTTTCAACTCATTTCCTTCAGTAAATTTCCAGATACCAACTTGCATGCAAAAACATAACCTAAGTGTGACACCAACACTGACACCAGGTTGAGTACAATAGCTCACCCTATTCTTTTAATAGTCGAACTAAAAATGATGAAAGCAACAATAGGAATACATTACTACATTGAAATGGTTTACAGAAAATCAACTTGCTGAACTTTTTAAATGGACTTGACCAGCTTCCATTTTTTTCACTGTCAATTACCAATTATTTTAGGAATATCAAGAAGAATATTTGAAGATGGTCAGTCAATAACATAGAGCCTGGTCAGACTGCACATGCTAGTATTTCTGCAGTCTGGACTGGCTCCTTTTTTAATAGCAGAAATAATCATTTATAAGTGCCAAGAGGTATGGTTTAAGGTTATAACCTAGAGAAAGACAGATATCATAACCTGACCTTTTACAAGTATCATAATATAACAGCAATTAAATGATCTTTTTTAAAACCTGATCACAGATTTTATTTGTCACACAATTACTATTAGTAATTAGCCATTTACTGAGGCTTGATACAATACATGCAATGATTAGACCTTATTGATGATAACAAAAAGAAATACATGTATAATCATGCTTTTATGCTAATGTTCACAAAAATTGACTCCCATTTTTTTTCTGAATGTAAGATTAATGTTCAGGCTACAAGATTTATTAAATCAAGTATTTAAGAAAGGCTGTCAAGTAGCAAGTGCCTAATGTATAAAATGAAAGTTCTTTCTACAACATCAGTTTTGTGATGAATTAAACAAATATTTGAAGTTCTAGATGTGTTAAACTAACTGCCTGTGTAAACTAAATATTTCTTTCTCTTATTCATGCAAGTATTGAAAAAATTTCAAGTCCAAATTTCAAGTCCACATTACCGTTACTTTGATACAACAGCAAACAAACAAGGGGAAACAACCATTTCTAAATCATTACTTAACATATTGAAAGAGGACTTTCGGACATTACTGAAATCAGACCGTCCAGCACCTTCTGACAAAAATTAGGGCAAATTTTAGGGCAATATTTAAGAAATTTTAGGGCTAATATTTGTAATTTTATAACTAAACTAGCCGTACCTATAATAACTCACAAATAATGCTCTAGTTTACACATAGCAAAGGTGTATACCAGAATCCGAATAAATACATTCACTGGTCAACTGCCTTTTACTGCCTACTCTTGATTAAAAGAATAGCTGAAAAACTACATTAAAACCTAAATAGAATGAAAACATTTTCAAAGTTATAAGTATGTTTATAACAAAAGCTCAAAAAAATAGGAATTCAAGTGAAAAAATAGGGCATTTTAAGGAATTCCCTTTGATTTTTTTTTCTCATTTTTTTAAAGAATTTCAGCCAAACTGTAAAAATAGGAATTTTTAGGAATTTTAGGGATGCTGGACAGCCTGTGAAATATCAAAGGATTGGGGTAGGGGAAGGGGAGGTAAATAGAAATTACCTGCTACTTTAACTATTAGATAATAGAGGATATAAGAAAACATTCATAAACTAATGGAAATGTTACAAGCAAGGAAACAGATCAAAAGCAAGAAAATGTATTAAGTTACCTAAGTTTTAAACTTAACCATTTAGATAATATTTAGGAAAATAAGGAAAACCAAGGAGTATTTCTAAGTTAACCCATAACATACATTAGCATTGTTCATTTAGAAATCAAAGATTGTTTTTCAGTTAATCAATAACTATAAGTTAATAAGGAAATAAGGAAAACCAAGGATTATTTTTAAGTTAACCAAGTATTGTTACTGAAGATAAACATGGCCCTCAGACTAATCAAATCCCTTGCCTGCATTTCTGCAGATGTAAATGCACAAAAACAAGTGCATTAACCCTTCATTCTATTAAATTATGAACAAGTCTTTAAAAGTATAAGGTGAAATACAGAAACTTATTGCTCCAAGTATATTTTTACCTTGTTTCAATTTATCTAGTACTTGCATTTATGCTGACTTACTTTGTAGTTATGTGAGATCTAGAACAATGCAGTGAATGCACTGAAGTATCTTATTTTAATGGCCTAAAAATAATTTCTAACATTGTTGTTGTATGCGTTTCCATAATTACTCTAATTGTTGTGGTAGAATTTCAATACAAAGTTCTAAAGTTAGTTTCATTACAGATACTACTGGCATGCGAGCAGTTCCCGTACAAAAATCATAGTTACTTAATAATTATTTTTTATTACGCTCACTCACCAATATTTGAATGTTACACATCAATATTCGGCTCATCACACAAATCATGGAAATGACATCATGTTCTAAACATAGAATAACCCTTACTTATGAGGCCTCATATGGGGTACCGAAATTATCCATTATTTTGTATGAAGAGAAGTAGTTCCCGTACATAAAATCTAACCCATTATAATTATATAATTTTATTATATCGGACCTATTTTTCATTTACAATTGTTGAACAGACCATTATCTAAGAGATAAATAGATGTAATTCAGGAATTAGAGCGTAGACTAAACGCGGGTATCTATTACCCGGTACCGTTACCCCAACGCATTCATAGGCAGTAACATGCTTGTATGCATGGTATTTTACGCATCAAAGCCATAAAATTATTATATATAGTAATATTGGTCAACATTCTGATAATTAAACAATTTCATCTCATTGCCTACTTATTTGTAAACAGGTGGTATAAGTGGAAAACCCTTTAACAAGCCTCATGTGTAAGTATTTTTGCGCATGCGCGCAAGGACGGAATCCCCCAGAGAAAACAAGGTCACGTTTTGACGACGCACAGGTGAAAGTGATTTAAAATGAGACTTTATATACGTACTGCCAAACTGAGAATTAGATTTTGTCTCGTTTATGTATCTGCTTGATTTGAAATGAATTTTTGAAGAATGCAAGTAAAAATCAAGCGTTTAAATGAAAAATACGGGTACTGCTTCTGTACGGGAACTGCTCGCATGCCAGTACTGATCTAGCAAAGCCCAATGTCTTGTTTTAATAGTAACTGGATTAAGTTACAGCCTTTTTCTTTAGTAATGCCTTTTGTTAACCACTTGAAAGCATCAACAGCTCAATATTTTGTCTGTAAATTCGGCCAAAACATGAGTCTAAGTCCCAATACCTCAAAGTTTTTATAAAAGTCCCTTTAACTTCAATCTACCAAGGTTCTACTGTACTAAGTAAAAATGAAGATTAAAACTTGACAGCGCATTACAGAAGCAATTAGAGACAGAACTAAGCTTTAAATTGCAAAACCTTTGTAAAGAAGTCACTATAAATTGTAACATAATGTCAAATGAAAGTAGGTAAGTATAAGCAGTGAAAACTTATAAGCTAGTGTGAGTATAATTATGGTAGTGGAAAAAGAACATAAAAATATAGTGAAAAAACTATAAAAATATCACTTACTTTCTTCAGCCTGTAGAAAATATGTTAAAGCCTGTAAAAAAAACAAAAAAAAACACATCAAAACTAATGATGATATTTAGTAATTTATCTATAGGACTTAGCAGTCCTTGGTACCAGCACATTGCTGATCTCTCTTAATGAATCAATTCAATAAAGGCTACAGTAAGAATGACTTAAGACAAATTTTCTTTACAAAAGAATCGTCATAAGACTCAAACACAAATATTCCAGCAAAGAAATTTTTTGAAGGCAAAAGTGTTCTAATTCAAACGAATTGTAACGAGCCTGTAGATCTTCCTGTTGATTTGATGAAAGCACTTTTGTTCGCGCCATGTAATAATGATAGGAAGACTTCTGTCATCTCTTATTGACCAAAAATGCAAATGGAAGAGCATTCATCCATTAACGCATCATGCAAAATTTGGACAGATGGACTTAAGTCATGCAGTGCTTTATTCAAAATTGTGATAATTCTTTCACCTAACCATATATTCAATCCAAAAAACTAATACAATCCTATCAACCTCAGGGCTGACAGATTTCTACATTCTACTCATATGACAAGGTTGTATGGGAAATTAAAATAATCATACGACCCTTCATAAGCTAGCTCCAATCCTAACATGAAATAATGTTGTGTCCTTGGCATGATTTTTAACCTACAATAATGGAGATAAGTGATTTAAAGCCTATAACCTCATCAAAGACCAAATTTTTATTACAGAAAATAAATCTTACCTCTTCAAAAGTGGACGATGGTGGAGAAGCATAAATCACAGCTGCTAATTTTCTCTGGTACCAGGGCATTGCCGCAAATGTAAAACACCTGTATTAATTATATATTTATTACATATAAATACAAAGAACTTTCTCTGCCAATGAATAAACATACAAGACAACAAATCAGTGACACCTATGGACCATCAAAAACGCCTCTTCAACACAGCTATCCTTGAAGTGTGTGACCTTTACCCATTAAAAGGCTGGCATAGGCTCTGCACATGGCCTTGGTGGAGAAAACATTCAGAGCTAGTCTGAAGAGTCAAAGTATTTATAGAAGTATCTTTACAGCAGACACAAACTGTCTGACATTAAATCTTTAAAAGTGACCCTTAACTTGAGCAAGCATAAAGATATTATTATTTCAGCAAATCACTTTGTTAAGGTCGCTATTTCAGCAAAGTTTGAATAAAATCATTACAGGTGTAAGGGATTTATAGAGTGGAGACAGATTTACTAACATACCGACCCATGTTGACAGTACAGTCTCAATATAAATGTGGTGGGGTTATAATAAACCTGGATCTCCATCACATAAAAAGAGCCCTGCAAGGCACCTACATTACTAAACAGTGAAATACTGACAGAACATTATATAATACTGTGTATGCACTTACCACTGTCCTAAGGAATGTATAGATGTAGCATCTTTAGGGTTCAACTCAATAGCTTTCTGAAATATAAAATAAGAGCTGTCAGAAAGACAACATGCTGGACTATTACAGTTCATGATCGTGAAACAAGAGCCTGGTTAATGCAGAATTTTATAAGTTCGAAAATGGCCATAATTCTGTCAAAATCCATATTAAGAGTTTTGGCCTTGATCAGTGACCTATTAATCTCTCAAGTGTGTTCTTTTCTGATAATATATTGGTTAATGGCTGAAGCTTGTTATATAAATATCTGACTCATTTGTTGAAATAATAAACAGCAATTGGTAAATGATAGCATTAGTAGGTACTATAAGAGAAGCAACTGTGAATAAAGGTGTACACAAGTCAAAAAAAAACATCCTTCAATTAATCAAAATTACCTAAATACACACTTATTAAGACATGAAACTGCTACATACTGTTTACACAGTCATATCACCACTTTACACTTAACCTCTGCTGCAATCAACTAGAGATAATTGGGGAAAAAACACACACTCTGATTGGCTTAGAATGTGTAACATATTAACTATACACCCACATGTTTTTTTAATCAGAGGTGATACACAACTGACCATTTAACTCAATGTCCCAGATCAATGGCAAATTTCCAGCTTTACTGGTGGAGGAAGACCTCAGGTCAGTCTTCGAAATTAACATTTGAGAAGTTACTCGCCCAAAACCAACTTTATAAGCCCAAATAAATTGTTCAAATTTTGATGTTTTTTTCCTTATCTTTAATGCTGAAGGTAAATAAAAGAAACAAAAGGAAATCCAATACAAGTCTTGTGTCATAATTTATTTTATTGTTATTCCCTGCTGTACATGAAAATCATTTTTCATGGTTACTACGATACGATACTTGACAATGGAAAACGGAACATAAACAAAGTTGGTTCCCAATAAATTACTCCCTTTAATTGGCTAACGGAAGTAAGCCTAGAAACAAGTAGTGACATGGCAAAAAGTGCGCAGTTGAACACCACTATAATGAATTTGGCGAGCGGAAATTTTTCTCGCCATACGGGCGAGCAAAATCGGATTTTTTAGTCGCCCTAATTTAATATTTACTCGCCTGGACGATCGGGCGAGTGCTAATTTCGAAGACTGACAGGTGCCCCTTTGTGCATTATTTCAGGCACAAGCAGGCATCAGAGAAGAACCACCAACATTCTTTAAGCTAGATGAATAGCTTCCTTACATGAAAGAATCCAAAGTCCAAGATTTGGATTCAAACCCATATCAGAGAGATAAAGTGTTTTGATGGAAACAACCTTAACCACAGACTCTCCTTCCAAATGATGTAAGAAATTATCACTGACTAACCTGAAAATGTTCTTTAACTTGTACAGCATTTATAAGCCTCTGTTTATTTCCTTCCAGTTCACCAGTGTAGTCAAGTAAAATAGCATACCACTGTCAAACAAAAACAATATTTAATCAGTTAAATACAGCTGTCTTTACTCAAAACTCTTAACATATCTTAGTAATAATGTGAAGAGCTGAAATAGATGTTGGATTGAGTTTTTAAAATATTTCCAAATATCATGCTGCTTCTCTCCTACATTACTGATACAGTGTATAAGAATGCCCCCATTACTGATATAGTATATATGAATGCCCCCCATTACTGATACAATGTATATGAATATATTTAATCAAATTATCTACAAAAAAATTTCATTGTTTCATGTTACACGTATCTTACCTTATGTACAGCAAAATTCCTGGGGTTCAGCTCTAGAGCTTTTTTTATATAATCATATGCCTCGTAATACAGATCTCTCTTCATGTCTGTAAACTCAGGTAGTTTGCCTTTATCTACAGCTGCCCTGGCCAGTCTCCATAGTATTTCATCATCTTCTGAATGCTGGTTAAAAATATTCAAAAAATTTTTTTTTTTAAAAAACTAACAATTAAAGCTGCATGCCTCTAGATGAGCCAAAATATTTCAATAAAATCAATGTAAAACAAAATGTACTAATATTTTAGTTTGGGTAAAACGATACAAGTAATAATTTACACATTATGTGTGATTAATAAATAATTTTACAGTATTAATGAATATATTTCTTCTTCGTTACTAACACAGTAAGGGCTATTTTTGCATATCTTGTATTTTTTTTTTTTTGGGGGGGGGGGGATAATTTACATGGGTTGACTTGTAAGTGCCGTTAATAATGTGTAAATTGCTTTCTTTTGGTTACTTCACAATATTGTACATTTCAAAATTTTCATGAAAATTACCATGATTCTGGAAGCTTGCTGCTAAAACTTGCTGAATATGCCATGTTTTGCATTTATTATGAACAGTCAATTAAAATATGTAAGGATTTCAATAGCAAAATACAACAAGAGCTGTCCTGGGAACAGCATGCTTCAATTTTTTTCGCTAAACTGTATAGTAAACTGCATAATTTTTCAATGAAAAGATAACTTAGATAAAAGGTCACATCATTGACTGTAACCTTTTGACCTGAAAATTATTGTGGTAGACATAACTTTGTTAAGATGCATCCACCTATTTTTTTTTCTTTCTTTTTTTTTAAAACATTTTCTAATACTTTCTAAGGTTCCTGCTGCATTAATATCACCTAAGCCTCTAAGAGAATCCAAATAAAGCTTCTTAGTTATTGTGTGAAAAGTTCTATACCTAGTGTGCAGTTAAATATAACGCCTGAAAGTGTGCATATAATGTGTTATAGGGTTATCTAAATACAGCACCTGCTCTCTTCACTTACAGAAATATTATCTCTTTATCAATACCTACTGCGGAGACGTTAAACCTGACAGATATCTTAAATATAGTAACAAGGAAATGATGACAGAACTGGTCTTATTTCAATTATACATGTGCATCCATATTACAATTATTATAATGATGATTAAAATGAAAGGCCAAAGAAATTTAATGTTTATTTCCCGCACTTTTCTTTTTTTATAAATTTAAATGCAATCATTTTATTATATATAAAAAGTACTTAATTTTTTTAGAATGTATGTTTATTGTCATTTTGAAGGAAAAAAAACATTTTTGGTTACTAGATCTACTTTCCTTTAACATTCTGTGTTTGAGTAATTAATTTTTCCAGCTTTAATTTGAAAAAGTCCATTTAAAGTTTAAGGGATTTTATTTACCATTTTAACATAAAAATATTTCACAAATTGAGCTTCCAACACTGAACCAGGAGCACAAATAAGACCCATTCCCAATTTAAAAAAAAATTGTATCTTTTTCCACTTTTTTCACAATTAAAAAATAATCCCAACAGCAGGCCCAAAAATCAAACTGTTTAAACTTTTGCGAAAATTTAAGTGTTTTGACTTGTTTTTAAAAAGAAGTGAAAGGTTATAATATTAGGATCACATACATGTTAAAAAACTAAATAGTCATGTATAAGCAAGATTTTTAATTTCACACTGACTGTCCTACAATGTAGTTTGTAAAGATTTGTGAGACATAAACTTAACAACTCAAAAGTATTCTTTTTTCCAAGACAGGAAATCAGGAAATGGCCAGGCTCTTTTTTGACCTCATAGTCTAAACCAAATCAATAATGGTCAATAATACTTAGGAGCTGACAAAATAACACATTTTGTATGCATCACACCAAATATTATAGATTGTGAAAGTTGTGGGAAAAAAAAAAGATATTTACATGTATTATAAGGGAAAAAGGGAGAGTATATGTTTGAGTAAAGAATTAACTTGGTAAAAATTTGGACCGTAGATGATTGAGTCTTATTAAGCTATATTCATGGTTGAATTTGTAACTTTTTATCACTATTTGTCACTTTTGAATGGTATCCATCATTACATTAAAAAAATAGCATTTATATCTATAAAACATGTAGTTTGACAAACAAGCTGAGACTTGAAAGAAAATGATCATTAAGATTCGCTATTTTTATTTGCAAACACCTATGAATCAGATATACTCTAAAATTCCTATTAAATGCCCCTCCCTTAATAAAGCCATCCCCTCCGCCCAGATTTTTTGACAAGGAAAAAATTTACTCACCAGTGTTGAACTTGCAAGTTAATCCATTATTTTATTCAAATCCATTAGAATCCATTTAATTTTATTGTTAATACAAAATGTATCATATAAACTTTAAAATTTTAACAATTTTTAATGTCATTACGAAAAATTATTTAACATTTAACTCAAACTGTGTTTTAATAAACTCCCCCCCCCCCCCTTTGGAAAATGTTATGCCCCTGTGGGTGTTCACTGGGAATTTCATGGTAAACTGTTACATGTCCATTGGATCAAATATATTATTTAACTAGATTTCTTTAACTGTAATGCCCCCATGGATATAAGCAATCAGCAGGAATTCAATATATTATTCAATAACAGGTTCTAATAATGGTCTTACCTGATGCATTCTTAGAAAATCATACAAGGCAACAACTTTATTTTCTGAGTATAAGTAGTCAGCTTTATTTAGTATTTGTTGTCTCACGTCTTCAACTATAGAAAAAAACAAATGCTTATTAATAGAAATAAAAGGGACCGCATATGAATTACTTGATATAATATAAACTTTATTAAACAAGTTCAAGAGATTGTTAACAGTATTGCAAGCAATCCATAAGTCCCCTACCGGTTAGAACCCCAGCAACATTCTGATTGGCCATTCAATGTTACCAGTGAATGAATGACATGAATGAACTTAAATCTTTTGAGTTCTAAGTTTGTCTTTATCAGAGTAATGTGTTAAGTTTCCCTGCCTAGTAAGGAAATTATGTTTCTACAACAGATAATCAAAAGGTCCAACAGTTTTTATGAACAGACAGACATACAGACAGACTGAAGGAGACTCTATAGTTGTTTTTTTTAAACATCCCTGTTACCAAAATATAACATATTCTTATGCAAAATTCTTAAAGAGGAGATAACTCTTGAAATAAGGATGCTAGATTTATGAACATTGTCATATATGATGTGAATTTTACTTTAAGTTTGAAGATACCATTTATAGTCACAAAGAAGATAAGTAAAAAAATAACAATTTTCAATTACAGCATTAACTATAATGTATAGTAAGTAACAAAGATGAAAATTAAAAAAAATAGATAATGTAGGTGTTGGTAATGAATGTTGTTTTTTTTTTAATTTGAAGAAAATCCATGAAGAAAAAATTAGAAAGTTAAAGAATGAATAAGAAAAATTCAAAGTGTAAGGAGGAGATACTTCTAAAAATATGGATTCTAGATTTATGAACCTTGTCATATTATTACTATGTGGGATTTTAAAGTAAATCCTATAAGGAATGAAGAAGTTGGGAGTAAAAAATACCAATTTCTCGAAAGAAATCAAGGTTCAAGGGGGACATAATTCTGGAAATAGTCTCGCTTGAGTATTTAACCTCCTCACAAATGTTGAGTGATAATAAGAAACATATATATGAAGTTTGAAGTAGATACATTAAGAAATAAAGAAGTTATTTTAAAAAGACAACAGTTTTTTCATAAAAATTCTAAGTTCAAGGGGGGTAATTCTGATAATTTTTGTGCTAGAGTTGTAAACCTTGTCACATATAATGTGGTTGATGACCAGAAACTTATGTTATATTTAAAGTTTGAAGTAAACACCTAAAGAAATAAAGAACTTATAGTGAAAAAGCGTAAAAATTCAAATCAGAATCTTGAAATTCAGCCTATTTGTTGCCATAGCAACCAGAATTTTCAACAAAGGAAGAAAATAAAAAGATGTGCATAATCTCCAGACTGCCATCTACCCATATTTCAAGTTTCATAAAAATATTTTCAGTACTTTTTGAGTAATCACTGGATCCAGTTTATGTGTTAAATTTGCCATATTTTCAGTCTATTTGTTGCCATAGCAACCAGAGTTTTCAATATAGAAAGAAAAGAAAATGACGTGCATAATCTCCATACTGCCATTTATCCATATATCAAGTTTCATAAAATATTTTCAGTACTTTTTGCGTTATCACGGGATCCAGTTTTGTGGACAGACGGACTGACGGGCTGACAGACAGACGGATGGAGGGTAAACCTAAAGTCCCCTCCGGTTAAACCGGTAGGGGACTAATAAAGCTAGTTTTATAACATTCTTCAAATGAGTTTAATTCTGTATTCTAAATGACAACAAATAACATATTATCTTTATCACAAGACGGAACGGGAACACATTTAAATAAACTTATTTTGACATTTTTATCAGATGTGAGCTAAAATAAAATTAACTTTCTTTGGCCGAAGGCTCTGACAGTCTAAAGCCCAATAACAAGGCCATTATGAAAACACTTAATTATTAACATTATAGAGCTTAGAGTTTGATGAGAAAATTATCACTTTCATTTGATATGTGTATAAAATGATTATGTATCTAGTGGTTGTCACAGATTACTGAAGAGTTTGTAGTGATATTACTATAGTACTAAACATCAAGATGTTAAACAAAAGACAGGCCGAAAGATGATAATCGACCTGAAAAACAAATCAAATGAAAAAGCTTCAGCCGGACAATTATGGTTATGAATTTTCAACCTCAGGTCCGCAAAGTCATAAATCAAATATAAATCAATAAATCAATCATGTAACACTGATAATCAGTTGAAATAATAGGCAATATAATAATTATGCAACTATATATAGTAACAAGTGTATTACAATGCATTTTCAACATATATGGGGTTCAAATCTAAGGCCAAAATCAGATTCGTTTAGTCTATACTAGCCTGTAGTATTATCAGTTTTTATAACATCAGCCTTTTCCTCATTTCCACCCCAGTTGATTCCAAAGAGAGCATACATGGTGTTTCCTGTCACAAGGGGAACCAGCAACTTTCTATAGCAACTCCTTTGACCATTCATCTTGTTTGTTACCTAAAATAAGAGAAATTTATATAACAAATTACATGTACTTAAAAAAAGCATGGTTTATTATACTAAATACCTGACAACCTGAAGTTAAAGAAAAAAATCATGTATTATTCAGTACTGTAGTTTTGAAAGTCTAGCTAAAATTATACTTCCTGTATACCCCTGTTAAATGACTCCATATATAATGCATTAAATTTTGGCAAGAAAATTAGCTCTGGGTATTCTCCAGTTACTGTTTACACAATTCCCTTCCAAATACAATGCATTCATAAAACTCATTACAACTCTTGTCTCAAAATGTTAATTTCAAACCTTGAAAAGTTGCATGTACTGTACTACCAACTGCCAAATATTATAAAGCCTGATTCAAAGCCAATCTAAACTTGCTGATAAAAAGTGACAGGTTTAATAGGCAGTTAAATATACAAGTTTGCACATATTTCGAAATCATGGCCTGGCTATAGACTACATGTGTATATTCAAAACAGAATCAAATACAAGAGGGCCATGATGGCCCTGAGGTCGCTCACCTGTATATAGGCCCCCCGAGCAGGGCCAGTTTAAACCCCAGGGCTTTTATTTGAACAAACTTGGAAGACACCAATTAGAAGATGTTTTCATGATGTTAAGTTTAAACTACAACACATATAATAAAAACATTGACCTCCCCCCCCCCCCCCCGTCAGGGCCAATAAGAATTTCAAACCCAAGGGCTTTTATTTGAACAAACACTTGGTAGAACACCCATAAGAAAGATGTTTCATGCTAAACATCTAAGCTCTAGCTCATTGGGTTTTTTAAAAAAAGATTAAGTTTTTACCATACACGTATAGTTAAAAAAAATGACACCCCTGGGGCGGGGCCAGTTTTGACCCCAGGACTTTTATTTGAATGAACGTTGTAGACACTCACTAGAAGATGTTTCATGCTTAATATCTAAACTCTAGCTCTTTAGGTTTTTTCAAAGAAGATTTTTTAAGTTTTTACGATACATATATAAGGAAAATCAATGACCCTGGGGCGGGCAAATTTTGACCCCAGGACTTTTATTTGAATGAACGCTGTAGACACTCACTAGAAGATGTTTCATGCTTAATATCTAAACTCTAGCTCTTTGGATTTTTTCAAAGAAGATTTTTTAAGTTTTTGCTATACACATATAAGGAAAATCAATGACCCCCGGGGTGGGGCCAATTTTGACCCCAGGGCTTTTATTTGAATAAACGCTGTAGACACTCACTAGAATATATAGAATACTATACCTATCAATGAAAATTTGAGTGTCAGTTCTAGTTGCGTGCAGTCATTTTCAATGTAACTCAATGATAAAAGGCAGGGTATGGTGTGGTGGTGCGATAGCTCAGTTGGTTAGACCACTGATTATCACTCCTGGGTTATAACCTTGGGATTTTTCAGAGACATTTTCAGTGTTTCCCACCTACCTAGAGGTGTACTGGTAAGAAATCCAGGTAATCCTCGCATGTATCAGTGCTATACACTGGGCATGTAAAAGAACCAAGGGGTCTATTCAATAAGAGCTAGGGATTGGTTCCCTAGCTCCCTTGTATCTCATAGATGTCTCTTAAAACTGTATCCAATTTATACCTGCTTAGAGTGATCGTAAACGATTTTAAAGCAGTATGATGTAGAACTAGAAACTATTCCAATAACGGAACAATTGCAACTTTTTGGATTAATAATAATTCATTTTATTAATTGTCCAATGTTCCGAGTGAAAACAGAAGCGGTGCATAAAATATCGAATGACATCTTTAAAACGGAAAAATGAATGGGTTTTTTTAACGGACTTCCCAGTTCATAGGCTTTACCTAATTTCAAACTTAGTTATTTTTTTATATTTAAAATCAGCCTCACTGGACCATCTCTTGAACAATATTTTCAATTTATGGTGATATTTATTGTCAAAATCCTTTTCCTTGATTTTACAGATATGTATGGTGTCCATTTCAATCTACTTAAATTTGTCAACATGACATATATCCTATGTTACTTATTAATCATTGCTGTCATGAACTTACTCAGGGGCTTAATTACTAAGAAAAATTGTTGAGCAAAATTAATTGTATGTGACAAACATCATATAGAATTTTGTGTGCTAGATGGTAAAGTTTGAGAGATGGTTTCAAGCCTGTATTAAAATAACAAAATTTACTTGGTTTCAATTTCTCACAAAAAAACTTTATGCACTCATTGAGATTCTATATCATTTCTCTTAAAATCTCTGCATTGATGTGCACAGGCATAAGACATACAGGATGTGATGCTATATAATTTTTTTATTTAATTTTATTGAAGATAAATAGAAATAAATTGTTTAAAAATGCTACTTTGTGAATTTCCTGATGAGTTATTGGTAAATAAGTAAAGGCTAAATCTTATGTAATTAATACGGGGAAGTCAAAGACCGGGCCCGCGAAGCGGGTCCGGGCTTTGGCTTGCCCGGCTATAGACTACACGTGTATATTTAAAAGAAATTCAAATAAAAAAGAATTAAAAAATATATAGAATTCTATACCTACCAATGAAATTTTCAGTGTCAGTTCTAGTCGGGCGACGCCATTTACAATGTAACTCAATGATAATAGGCGGGGTATTCCGGTAACGGAACAAATCTCAACTTTTCGGATAAATAAAAAACGCCGAGTGTTCCGAGTGAAAACGGAAGCGGTGCATGTAATACCGAATGACACCTTTAAAACGGAAAGAATGAAAGGAATTTTTAACGACTTCCCCGTTCATAGGCTTTGCCTAATTTCATATTAATTCGAGTCAGTGTCATATGGGATCAACTTTTTAATATACATGATTTAATAACTTTCATAAATCTTAAGAAATTCTAGTACAAGATAATTTGTGCACGAACAGTCAAAATTATAAAGTGAGTCGCTAAAATCAACATGAAAGCGTAAAGATCAAATCAGTTTGAACAAACATATCATTGTGTACCCTTTTTGTCTGTTGTCGAATGCTTCGTACACATCCTACTCTAAGCTGTGTCAACCTTAGAAAGTAATTCAACCGACTAGATGACATTTTGCGGACGATTTATCTCCGTATCGACTCTAAAATGAAGAGCTTTTATGTTATGGATAAAACCCGTAAAATATGATACGGTTTGGAAAGAACCACAGGGACTCGGACCGGTGAATTTTCGTACTATTTGTAAATTAGTCAAATTTGAGGCTTAATTCTGGATTCCACTGTTCTTGATGAATTAAATACTGTCTTCAACTTTAAACATTAACACTATCTAAGTCCAATGAGGCCCAAAATATAAAAGGTTAGCCATCTACTTTTTTCAGAAATCTTCAATTCTGTTTTGTAAACACTGTTTAAATTCACCTCTTTAAAAACTCCTGACAGCTGGTGGGTAGTACATCTTTAATCCTTCACCAACAAATGAGTTCCTGGAGAAATACAACAAAAAATAACTTTTAAAGTCATCATATAACACACAAAAACTACACCCATGCAATTAATACACTTTAATTATGACCAATCTAACTAGATGACTTAAACTGGGCCATTTCAAAATTTTAAAGAACTACTTTCTAGACTACAATAGGTTGACCGGGTTGAGACCACAGGTGTTTGAGGACGTTCATTGCCAAAATTCCAGACGTGTAAAGTGTTCCTTTTGAAAACTACTTTTGAAATTGCGAACATGTATGCCTAGCATTTTAACTGTATCCGTACACTGCAAATAATAAGCCTCTTAAGACACTGCCTTAACAGTCCCAGAACTACAGGAAAACATTTACACACTAACATGTTTAATAGACATAAGTAGATTCATACAGTTAAACGATTTTAATTCATGTATGGCACCTTTCCCCTATATGACCGAGTGTTTACGAATTTCTGTCATGAAACTGTACAAACCAGTTGATCACTGTCAAGAGCATGCTTATTGGCTGGGGTTTGTCATTTCTGACAGTCATTTTCAAGTTAAACGACTTTTATCAGCATTTGTAAGTATAAACGTTATGTATTAGATATTCTTGCCTGAATAAAAGATTATAATACTAAATGCTCGTGCAGCAAAATATACAATAAACATCTCTATGTAGCAACAGTTCTCAACAACAACCAAACTCTTTACCGCCAACAGGATGGTTTTTTAAAAGGTTCCATTTGAAAAGGTTCTACGCAAAATGTCCTGATTTTTTTTTCAGAAATGGCATTATCAAGTCTATGGGGTTTAGATTGCCCTTACAGTCGGTAAAGTTTAATGAACGCACACAGACTAAAAGTGCTTTTAGTCCTGAAAATCTATGCAAATAAGAAATCCAACACATACGTATACGCTTAATTAGCCTACAACTCGTCCTAGTGTAAATCCGATAGTAAACATAATTAGGAAAAATGAAAATTCGAATCGTGATTTCTTTTGTTATCATCTATCAGTTTTCTAGGTTAAATGGCGTCAAAACAGGAAGGATGATTTGGGCTAACATCGGGTGATAAAAACATTCAAAGCAACACCTAGGGTGAAAACCATTTTACTTCCTGGAGCTCAGAGTTGCATCTTTAGACTCCAGTTATTTAAACCCATTTAGTTGCCTCTCGATAAACAACTAGTGACAGTATTTCTGGTGCATGCTTCAACATTCAGCCACAAGAGGCAAAATATATTGGGTCAATGTCATTACATTAATCGGTTACTATATAAATCATGCTAAACAAAATGAATTATTTAAAACAATATCATATTTGTTTGCAGCATTTCAAAGAAAGGAACTTATTTTCGATGTAAACATTGCTTCTAAAAACATCTTTATTGTTAACGATCCTAACCATGACGTAATGAAGTAGTATTGTTGGTCTTGTTATGCAAACATACATGTATACACTTAATAGCAGAAACGTTTGTTAGATTCATTCTCCAGAGTTGTGTAATTAACATTCTTCTAAAGTAGAATTCAGGATTTGTCAGATTTTTAATTTCGAGATTCTTTACATATTTTTATATATGTACATATGTATAAGTTTTAATTCTCTTGGCCATATCATTTATCTGTTGCCTAGTTAGTTATTTAATTGGCAAATTGTATTTTTGTGTCGGTTTGCTAAATTATCTGAATACTGATAGATTGGTAGGATGATTTTTTTTCTGATGAAGGGTATATATTCTTGATTTAATATTTAACTTTGAGCGCAACAAATAGAAATAAAACGACATTAGTAATCTTTTCTCCTGTTGTCTTGTGCACGATTTTACTTAAAGAATGTATTTTCATTCTGTAGGATGCACAAGTCAAAACACCCTGTTCTGTTTTATTATGGTATTTTAGGCCTTCTCTATGAGAATTCTGTGTTCCCTACTAAAACTGTTATCCCTGATACTAGTATTTAAGTGAACCATGTTGATTTTGTTGAAAAAAATAGCCAACCCGCATAGCTCAATCGGTAAGAGCGCGAGACTTGAAATCTCGATATTGTAAGATCGATTCCCAGGTTAGCCAACTAGTTAACTAATATACAAAAGCAAAGACAAATTTTCGAGGGTTTCTCATATCCTGATATGTAAATATCCCTTATTAGGTATTGAAAATAAATAAATGTCCAGCAGTATGTAAGTTTTCAAGACAGACACTTTCGATATGAAACGTGTGTCAAACTGAAATAAAACAAAAAGATGTACGGCGATTACGGAAACATTTTTAAAAGGCATATGCAATGTACAAGCAGAAAGTATTTTGGCGAATTATGGTATTTCATTTGCTTTATCTGAACTGGAATTAATACATTTTTATGCCAATGACATTTGCTGATATTCTCCATGTTCTTAATGTATCATTGTACACTCAAATGACCCCATTCAAACACTTTCAGAGCACATTTGGTGTCCTTATTCAGTAACTTTTCAACATGGGATTACAAGCTGTTTTGCTTTGACAAATTACAAGCTGTTTTGCTTTGACAACGCCTCTTATACATAAGGCCAGGTTTTGTTTAAAGGAAGGAAATTAAGATATTGAGAAATGTTGCAAAATACATAATCATTGGTTAAAAATTTAAAACAAAAAAAAAACACTCAACGTAAGCTTCTTTTTTATTTCATTTACATTTCTTTCTTATATCATTCGGTCGTTATGACCTATATACACAGTGCATAATGTATAATAAAGATAATAGACATAAGGTTTTGGTTTAAATAATTTGAAAAAGAAGACTTTACCTTTTGAAATACCGTGGAACGATTTGTGGTATTTTCACAATTTACCAGCAATAAAAAATAAGAATTAAAATATATGTATTATATTTCATTTCAAATTGCTATATGCATTATATTCCATTTGAAAAAATAAACAAAGACAGACGAACTGAACAAATACTGTTTCTAATGCAAGTATTCCATATACAAAGTACACTTAAAAAATACACCGAATCTGTAGACTCAAATCTTTCTCATTATGTAGAGAGAAAATACGAAAAAAGACTATCAGTCTTCGAACGTTAATGGATCATCATGAATGTACGGACGCTGCGTCTGTAATTGTTGTTTAGCTGTGCACCATTTTGCTATCTTTCAAATCAAGTGGTTGATTTTCTCTCTACAGTTTTAGTGTCTATATCTTTTTTATGGCAGCTTTAAACTTATCAGCAAAGTTTGCTACAACAGCAAAACATTTGATCTGACTTCTGGTACAGAGGTTCTCCGAATTTCGTCTGGAAAAAAGATAAATGACAATAAATGATTGTTGGTGAAGTTGTATGCAGTATTGATAATGTGATTCTGGGGAACACCATTGTTTAAGTTATACATAGTTCTTAAATATATAATTTAATTTGTCATAATATGCTTTCTTATACTTTTTAAATAAAGGTTGCATGCACGTACAAACTGTAAAGATTGTTTTATTTCTTATTATTTCTGCAGTGGCATTTTTTATTTAAATCGTTGTATTACTTTCTTATACTGCTAAATTTGGTTCACCATTTAGATAATCCAACAAGACAAATTTATGAAAATATATAAATATACATATTTCAAAATAGCTTTTTAACATTCTTATAATACGAAGCAATAGTAACCAATTATTTTTTATCTTAGATAAAAAAAAGTCAGAAAATAGTCGGACGCTGTGGCTATTATAAGGGCTATTTCACTTTCAGAGCTTTGATGCAATGTACAAAAGTCGTATCTTGATTTAAGCTTCAATTAATGAACTCTGTCCATTGATCACTTACCAGTATTTTTCTATATTTATGATGTAACTCCCCACCTCTTCTGTCCAATTTCTCCAGTTTCATCTCGTATTCAACTGTTAAATTCTGAAAGTATAATAAATGTAATTTACTATACATACTATATTGAAAACAACCATGCAATATGTAAAATAAAATACATATATTCGAAAAATGTAAGTAATAATTGTACTTGTTATTGTTCCATATAAATCAAAGGAGATGCTGGATGAACGAAACTGGTTAAATATGGGCAAGAGTTTTTTCTGCGAGATTTGTTGGAATTTAGACAAAATGTAATACGTCTTTAGTATTGCATATAAAACCCTATGGTATAAATTGCCAAGGTCAACGTAAATTTATTTAATTATGATTATAATTGTAATCATTCATGTCTTGTTAAGTGTAAGATGTTTAATTCTTAATAAAGTTGATAATGGAAAAAAACTAATGAGTTGAATTTTAAAAATAATAAAAATTTTTTTGGTAAACATTGTAAAAATTTTTCCGAAACCCTGTGCTTTTAAAAGAGTAAAAATTTCCAAAAATTTTAACCAAAAAAGTAAAGTAAAAGTAATAGAATTTTAAAATTTTACAAAAATAAGGTTTAAAAGAAAACAAAGCAAAAACCCACAATATTATTATAAAGAAAAATACAAAAATTTCCCCTTCCAAATTTTGGAAAATTAAACAACAAAACATTTTAAACACTTTTTACCCGTTTTTTTTTTCAAAAAATATATGAAAAAGTTTAAAAAACTAATGAAAACTGTGTTTTTACAATTTTATTTTTAGTGGGATGAAATTTTAGAAAAACTAATGAAAAAAATTTTTTACGAAAATAAAGGTTTAAAAGCGAACAATCGTATTATTCAGAAAACCTCAAGAAGTACGCAATAAATCAAATCACAAATCACAACATCAAACATGTGAATGCACATCATACTCCATTCACAAATGGAAACTGTTTTTAAGTTATACGTCTCCTTGTTCCTGGATTCTTTTTTCAAGGACAGATAATTCACATCGGAGGAAAACTATACCTTATTTTTCAAATTGCTGACTTCCTTTCAATTGTTGATGCAAAATTCAAGAATTGATAAAGAGTATTTTTTTATATATTTTTTAAATCTAAACAAATTCCAATTTTCTTAATGCAAATTAAATACAATGTAAAAGAAATCAAGTAAATTAAATTAAACTTAAAAAGGATCATGGAATTTCATGAGATCAATGATAGTGTGCAATCAAAAACCAAAGCAAAATAAGGGATTGTCAGATTTATGTATAAGTTATCTAACATCCGATTTAAGGGCAGCTAATTCAGAAGCTATATTGGCGACTCCTATTTTTCGCTTTAAATGATTCTACGATCATGTAAAGTTTAAACTAAGCTTTTTTTTTCCCTTTCCCGTCAGTCTACAATTTTGACTGTAGTAAAACGTCTTTTTAAAAAAAACACCAAAAAAAGAAATTTTTTTACCTGTTTCATCTTTTTTGAAAAATTTTTTTGGGCCCTTTTCTGGGGGCAAAAACACTTTGGTTTTTGGGTTTTAAAGTTTTTTAAATGCTTTTTCAAAATTTCGACAAAACCACTTTTTAAAACCCGGGAAAAAAAATAAATCAATTTTTTTTTTTTTTGATATATTTAGATTTTGGGGTTTAAAAATTCCCGCTGGGGATGAAAGAAACTGGGTGGGAAAATGGAAAATGAAAAAAAAAGTAAATTTGGGGAAAAAACCGCTAGAGTGTGGATTAAGAAATATCTTTCTTCAGCTAGAATGTATGAGAGAATTTGTAATATATCTAGATAAAGTGATAGGATGTGAAACAGTAACTTTTAAAGATTGTGTATCCCCTTAACTTGATCAAACCTTTTGTTTATGTTTTGACATATTAGATTTATTGTTCATTTTTCATTGCCTAAATACAATCATGTTTAATAAATACTTTTGGTAAAAAAAGAAAGTAAAATACAGGAAAGCAGACCAACCCCGCAATAGGGTTGAATCAAAAGGGACACTGTTAACCAATAAAATTATGTTTATCAATAAGTTAATTGTTTTTTGGTCTCAATCTCTGTGTAATGTGGTTTCTGTTGTGTTATTATAAATAAATTAAAATTATTGAAAAGGCAAAACGCATCTTAAACCTAATCAATGTAATTCTGGTATTTATGGATTGAATAAAAATAAAACAGCTTTTAAACCTTCCCAACTTTCTAGCAGCTACTGGACCTTAACTGAAATTTGTTCACATTTTTTCACCATCTGCACCGTTTCCGTCCATTGTAACAGACCAGGATCGGAAATGCGCAGTTGTTCTACCAGGAAATGAATTAAGGTGTAACCTGTATCCTTTCCGCGGACACTCAGTATCTGTAAATAAAACATATACAATAAACATATGCAGTGAAAATTTATAGATAAACATACGCGATAAACATATGCATTTAAAATCTGCAAGTTCAATGAACAACGGGTAATTAATAGTATCCTCAAAATAAAATTTGGATTTGCTTATAAACAAAGCAACCTTAATGGAATTACAAAGTACTTCAATATCTGAAAAATGAATATAATCTATGTCACTTTTAAGTTTTCAAATAACAAATGTCATTGCCACTTTTTAAAGAATAAATTAATGTAAAAAAAAAAAAAAAAATTATTTACGCTTCAAATGATACAGTAAGCATTACACAAGAATTTTCAAAAATGGTTAAACCCTTTTTAAAAATATCAAATTTAAAATCTAAAAAATAAAACTAAACTTGTGAGGAAGTCCTTTTGCAGTTTTAACCAACAGGCCAAAAAAACGGCCGCACATGAAAGTAAAGTAAAATATACACATTTTAATTTTTTAATTTTTAAAATAAAAAGGGTTTGTGAGTCCAGCAAATATAACAAATTTTATCAAATTTTGGGAAAAATTAATATAATCAATTTTGAAATTGTCCAAAACAAGGCGCTCGACAAAGAATAATTTTTTAAAAAAAATTCAAAGGAAGGAAAACAAAAACACCTTTTCTAAAAAGGGAACCGGGGATTGAAAACCCCGAAAAACAAAATGAAATTTTTGACCCGGGTTTTCCCTTTTAGATGGTTTTCCCGTAGCTAGTTAAAATAATTCCCAATACAAAAAACCAGCATCTGAAATGTTTAGAAGTTCATCACATGCTGCATGGGGACTTGGTCAAAAAGCCCGGGAAAAAAAAAACAGTATATAAAAATAAACCCCACGAGTTTTTTTAAAATTAAAAAGGTAATCTAAAAATCTCTAACCACGAAAAATTAAACCTTGTTTTGTTCAAAGCTTTTTGTTACCTTTTAGCAAGAAAATTTTTTCAACTCTATTCCCTTTAGAAATGGGGTTGGTTCCAGGGACGAATTTTGAAAAAAGGTCCTATAAAGCGTATAGCTTCCTTAAAAAATCGAAACTTTAAATAAATTCCTTTTATAAACCCAAGCTTTTGAGTAAAACTCTAAAAATTTAAGTCCTTTTTCAGGAACCGTACTTAACTACTATCAACATTAACTAAACAAAACTATCAATTCCACTATGTCAATACACTTATTAGCTACTGTCTTGTATTAACCAGTATAATTGTAAAATATATCTTTAAACTGTCCATATAATACATTTTAATTTGTTTTGTTTTTTACTAAATTACATATCATTTATTCCAATCAATTTTGAAGTGTTTAATCTTAGACTGAATCTTAGATATAACTGTGAACACTATTCTAATTTTAGCGTAACTCATCAATAGGTCTAATTTCCTTGTAGCTAATGGTCAAATCTGATCAGATATTTTTATGTTATGGCCCTGTTTTTAATCAGGTTAAGTTGATGGTTATATATTAAAAACCTACCTGGCAAGTGGATTCGAATTGCCATGGGAATTCCCAAAGTGTGAGGCAAATGTCTATTCTAATATTAAGAAATGGAATCTCGCATAACTCGAGCATGAACTGATCTACAGGATGAAGCCTGTGTTTTTTGTGAGCGGGATTTTTTATACAAAGTCAATCTCCCTCCTCGGTTGGTTTTTACCCCACAATAAAAAAACCCTCACGTTTTTTAAAAATGAAAATTTATCAATTGCTGGTCCCTATAGATCTATAGAAATTTATTGAAAAAGTTTTAAATACGAAAGGGAAAGATAAAAAAAAATTCCCCCATTTAAAAAGTGTAATATGCTGCAGGGCCCTGGGCGGTAGTCTGCAAATTTAAACCCCTACCTGGATTAAAATCAAATCAAATCGAGTCAAACAAACCAAATTTTTAGTTTTTGGCGGGTTTGGGGGGTTTTTATTGTGGGTTCCCGTAAATTTTTCTATTTTAAACATAATTTCCTGGGTTTTTTGAAATAGAAAACAAACGGAAAAACCATAAAGAACGCCCAAAACGACAAATCTGAAAATGTTGTAGGCTCGGTTTCGTGGATGATACTGGAAAGTACAAGTTACCGTCCACGACCCCTAGTACCTGCTTATAAGCAGAATTCAACAGTTAAACATAAAAAAATGATTTTTGAGTTTAGCAGATGTATTCATTGTAAAAATAAAAAAAAATCATAATTATTAAAGCCAAATACAGAAAAAAGTGTTTTTTTTTATTTTTCTTCAACATCGAACATTTAATTGAAAGTACATGTATATACATATTACAGTGTCTAACAGAAATCATTATCATGCCAAAGGGGACTACGTCTGCATATTGGTTTGAAATCGAATTTTGAGAAAAATATTTTCATTATTTAAAGAAGAAAAGTGCCCCGGTTTCCCAAATTTTTGAATTAGTAAAAATTTTCCCCGGTTTTTTAAAAACCCGCAAATTAAATTTAGAGTTGTTTTTTGTTGTTGTTGTTGTAAAATTTTGGGAAAAAGGGAAAAAATAAAACAGGGATTTTTCCTTTAAAGTGGTTTAAATTTTTTTAGAGGGAAAACTGTTTATCTTCTGTCACACAGTTTAAGACATCCACAAGTTTCCTCGTACCTTCATTCTTTAAACCAGACATGAAGATGTCCAAAATCTGTGCTCGTTTAGCATCCACTAACAATTGTTGCTTGCCGGCTGATGGAGACTTCGGGCCTACAATGCATTGATGGTAATCAAATATATTTGTTGACCCGGGTGTTAGCAAATTTGCATTGATATTGTGTTTATTTATACATGGATTTTGTGAAAAAATACAAATTAATAACACTTGTGAATGATTTGAGTGATGTGAAGATTATTTATTATATAATATAAAGCTGTCATGAATGTGTGTTCGCTTTTTTTCCATTCAAAAAAATTGTGTCGTGAGAATCAAGAGAAGAAAGACCGAAGGCTCAGCGAGAAAACTGAACGAAATAGTCATTGAAGTTTGTAAAATTCGAATATTTTAATGAGGAAACATATGTCACAAATATACTAGCAATCGCTCGTCTTAATTGCGCCTATATTGTTTTTATGACACTTTTCCAAACCAGAATCAATTATCTAAAATATCGTATCCAACGTCAATTTAATGTTTTCTTTAAATATGCCGCGTTTATTCTACACCTAGTTTAGAATACAATGAGGATGAAAATTGTTAAAGCATGATTTCTTGACTTCACAAAAATGGAATATGCTTGTGTATCAAAACTCTGCTTATAAGTTATTCGGTCCGCGACATCGGATTTTAGTGACCGAAAACGTCGTGTTTTAGGGCATGTCCATCACGATGAACATGAGATCGCATTGTTTTCATAAACTAAATTATTTTTCTGAAGTGTCCTCATAGGCAAACTCACTATGGTATTTTTGTACATATACAGTCGATCATCACAATCCTCTAGTAACTAAGATATAAAGAATATTTCAGAATTACCAGGAGTAGGAGGTGTGTCTTTTTCCTTCAGAGAGAACTGTTCCTCCAGAAGAGAAAGGTTCAATCTAGGGGTCATATCTCGAGGACGCTCCCAAATCGAATTCTGGACCTAGATAAATGATAAATATACATTTGTAAATGAACATAGGAAAATATCGAGGAAATATAAATATTACTATTAAATTAATTTTCAACTCATCGAACCATTGCCGACCTTGATCATTTCGTATTTTTTCTTTTTTGTTTGTTTGTTTGTTTTTTTTTCTGTCTTTAAGCAAAATTACATACATTGTGTATTACATTACTATTTTCAATCTTATCACTTGATATTCAGGACCCATTTATTGTGACCAACTTATATATAACCGTGATGATAAAGAACTTTTCTTACTAGTGGTTTTGGTGTGCGACTCCAATGCACTTGTTTCAATTTTCCTTTCATTTGTTTCACTTGAGATAGCGGTGGTGGTATTGCGGGAGGCGCGGGTGCACACACAGGTGGCGGAGCCGGCGGGATATTGCATACGGGCGGTGGTGGTGCTCGTCGTGGTGCCGACGGTGCTGGTACAGGAAACTTACTTTTATCTCTAGGACTTGGTAATTTATCGGATTTCTCTTCTTGTTTGTCTTTTACCTCATTAATGTAAGTGTTTTCGATACTTGCTTGCATCTGTTTTACAGATATCTTTTCATTTGTGTACACTGGTTGATTTGAATCACGAGGACTTTTTTCCCTAGGACTGACATTTACGTCCTTGTCGAGAATTTCGTTTGTGTCTTTAGATCCAACTCTTCTTAGTTTTGGGATTTCAGTAAAGTTTGACATAACATTCACAGCACCTGCACCTGGTTTTATAGCTTTTGTGTATTCCCCCGAGGAACGTTTATTCGGAGCATCATTTTTTATCACCTGGTTATAACTTCCAGACACACGGTTGTTGATCACGCGGTTGTCATTGTCAGAGTCCCTTCGAGTTATAACTTGTTTATACACGCCTGAAGAGTGTTTGTCTGTTCCAAGTGACCCGAAACCTGAGGAGGACTCGCTTGTCGAGTGGTTCGTCGGTGATGGTGGCGGTGAATAATCAGGTTCTGGAATGAAGTCATAAGTTGGTGGTTCTGCATCATCCTCAGATTTAAAGCTGGTCTTCATGTTGTATATTGCAGGTGGACGTGCCCGATTTTTGGAAGGAGAAACTAACATAGGGCTTGTTTTCTCAACCACACTGAGAGATATATTACGTTGTGCATTTCTGAAACCAGAATGTTTTTTTTTTGTTTTAATGAAAAGAAAATTTATTTAAGAATCCGCTTCTTTTTACTAAATGTTCTGAAAGATATAAAATGACTCCAAAAAGAACATGCATGGACTAAATACAAAGTGATCATATTCAAACTCCACTATCAAAATTTAAACTTTCTGTTTAGATTCTAAAAAATATATTTCTTTTTCTTGATCATATTCAAACTCCACTTTCAAAATTTAAACTTTCTGTTTAGATTCTTAAAAGAATATTAAAAAACTTTTAATACTTACCTCGATGACGACGCCGACTCATCGTTCAGAACTTCGTCCAACTCGTTTATGACCTGAATAGAACAACATAAACACCATTTTACAACTTCCATCATTTCTCATGATGTCAGAAAGCAACACATTTCCAACAAATTTAATCTCCTTCACCATAAAATAACGGTTTAGGAAAAGTAACCGCTTGTTTAAGCGTTTACATTAGTTGAAAAAATTAAATGAACGCTAGATAAAACAATATCCTTTAAATTCATAGACAATCATATGTGAGCAACCTAGGACTTTGTAAAATGGGTAGTTTCCTATACTCATTGTTTGGTTTCTAAGTTGAAATATTGACAAACATTCCACTTATTTCCTCACTTTTGAAAATTAAAAGTAACGTTTTAGGTTGCTGTTAAAGGGGACATTCTTTAAAAACCAAAACTTCCGTAAGCTTATCACATATCGATACACATATTATACACAAAAATGTACAATTTAGTTACAGATAACTTTTAGACTATTTCTATCTCTTGCTCTTTTTTGTACTAAAATAGTATTTTTGGACTATTAATTAAGATTGTATTTGGACCAAATAAATTAAAAGCACGCATTTTCGTTTTCAAAGGTATGCAAATGAATCAACCTTACGCAAAGCCAATCATAGTTTGAGAAGTATCCAGTCTGAGCTTCAGCTAAGCTATATTGCAAATGCAATAATAGTGCGCACTCAATAAACAGAAAAGACAACATGCGTGATAATTTGATCAAAAATGAAAAATGACAATCTTACTCAGTATGTCGGAAATATTCTGGATTAAGTCTTGTTAATAGTCAATACTATTCAAAGTAACGAATCAAATTTAGGAAATTGCAAGAAATTGAGAAAAAAAACAGAATTGTCAGAATCGTTAAAAATCACTTCTCCTTAAATCTTAAAACCTAAAATAATTAATCTTTTCCATCTAGATGTAATTACTTTTCTGGGCTCATGATGTATAAAGTGCCGAATAAATTGACACTAGCATACATATAATTATTACCAAATTCCGCTCTCAAACAATAAAACATACACTCTCTTTTACTACTGTTTGATATGTCTTTTTTGCCATTTTCATGTGTCTTTATAAGCCATGTTTAACAAGAATAGTTTGGAATGGTTTTGTTTAATATCCTCTTTTCAGAGGATTACAGAAATAAGTCTATAGACTCATTGATTGTTCCACTGCACGGAAATCTTTAGTAAAAGGCGAAAGATTTATTCGTGTCTGTAGTGAAACCAGAGTTAACTTTAGTAAGTAATACACTTATTTTATATAACATGTTTATGTTTAAAAGTTGAGCTATAATTTTATTCTAAATTGACCTTATATTGCAAATATTACGAAACAATCAACGAATGGGGTTGTTTTTACAAGATTAAATATAAAAAACATGGCATTTGTAATGGATATTTGAAAAAAGAAAGATAATTTATTCAAAAAGGGAAGTAAATAATAGGTTTTAATTTTATAGTCCTCAAAGGTGTAATTTTATTTAAAATATTTAACGGTTATTTCCCTTGCCGTAGTATGTAAAATTTATAATGTAGCTACATTCAATATAAGAAATATAGCATGAAAATTAGACTGAATATTAAACAAACATTATACAAACATAATGTATACAATAACTCATTTGAAATTATTTGTGTTCATTTAAAAAAAAAGGGTCGCTTGTTAGTTGATCTTGTATTTGATAATTTAAATCAATAAAAATCATCTCTGAGAAAGGGTGACCAAGGAAATACAAGTTTAACAAAATTTCTAATAATCATTCATTAAAATGCATTGTTTCGGAAAGTCTTAGCTCTATATTAGCCTATTGTTTCGGAAAGTCTTAGCTCTATATTAGCCTATGTTTTTCCGACTGAAAACCGGTCTAAATTAAATGAGTTTGACTTCCTGTAAAATTAACATATAAGACAAGTTTTGATTGATCATTTTGAATAACAAAATGAAATCTTGGAATCTCATCGGCCATTCTAAAATAAAAAGGAAAGGATATAGTTCTTGTCATTATAAGGTAGTTCTAAACTAAAATGTAAAGGATAGTTCTTGCCATTATAAAGAGAGTTCTAAAATAAAATGTACAGGATGGTTCTTTAACTTTATAGTTAAATTGTTTAGATATTTAAGTTCTACTTCTCCAACAAAATGTTTTACACTGCATTTAGAGTTCATTACATTTTCTTGTGAACAGTTCATTTTACGTAAGAACTTACTGAGTTTTTTACACAAGATCTGAGGTTTAAATTTTGTCCAAAATAACGAGAATAATATCAGACTTAAGATTATGATGTTCAAATAAGTGTCTAATATATTATATGATTATTGATGTGTTCAATTGGTATAATGTTTATAATTGTCATATATTTTTGCATATTAATCAAGTATTTATAAAAAAAAAATTGCCTACCGACTGAGTAGATGGTGTTAGAAATTGAGTTCACTTACCAAAACACGAAAGGTTCGTTTAGAAACGTATAGAGCTACATCTTTAAATGTTCCATATCTTTCAAGATTAATAACCTTACAAGAAGTATTATGTCATTGTTGAAACTAAAAAACTAATATATGCAACTTAACAAGTTTTTATTCGATTGAGTATCATTTATTTAAAGATTTATTTCTTGTTTTATGTAATTTCTTTCAAACAATCGAAAAATCATCGTATTATAATCGATCATGCCTAACCAACAAACAATTACGTGTACCACCAGAAAGTGATGTTACTGAATGAATATATTCTTAGAAAAACATAAAATATGCCGAAAATGTCATTACAGAAACGTTGTTGGATCTTTGGTATGTCTTTCAGCCTTATATTAACTTCCCATTGTAAACTTAAATTTAAAGAAAATGTAAACAAGAGCAATTTTTCCTTAAACTATGCATCATTAAAAAGCTAATAGTTAAAACAAATATAAGGGGTAAATATGAGCCACAGTCCTATTTTAACTGTCTGCACCTTAAAATGACTGTGGTATTTTCCGCCACTTTCCGTTTTGTTTACAAATCAATAAAGCGCCTATATGACCAGAATGAACAACAGAATCATTGGAAGCCACTGTTTTCCATTTCCCGAAAATGTAAGAAATTATAAGTTGGTATAGCTAATATTTTCCTTAACAATTCATATTAAGGGATGATTTTATTAGAAATTTGGTTTAAAAAAATGGTAAATAATCAGACGGACACGATTTATGATGGTTTTATTCTACCAACATTTCATCACGTAATTAATTTTAATATATGTTGGTTTTGTTAAGTATCCCCATTTCAGAGGATTACAGAAATAAGTCTATAGACTCATTGATTGTTCCACTGCACGGCAATCTTTAGTAAAAGGCGAAAGATTTATTCGTGTCTGTAGTGAAACCAGAGTTAACTTTAGCAAATTAATACACTTATTTTATATAACATGTTTATGCTTAAAAGTTGAGCTTTAATTTTATTCTTTCTTAACTGACCTTATATTGAAATATTATGAAATAATCAACAAATTGGGTTGTTTTTACAAAATTAGATATAAAAACATGGCATTTGTAATGGATATTTTAAAAAAGAAAGATAGTTTATTAAAAAGGGAAGTAAATAATAGGTTTTAATTTCATAGTCCTCTAAAGTGTAATTTTATTTAAACTATTTAACGCTTATTTCCCTTGCAGTAGTAATAAAAACATACTAATGTTACATACATTCAATATTGGTTGCAGAGAAAAAGAAAATAGCATGAAAATTAAACTGAATATTTAACAAACATTATAATACCAAACATTTTGTATACAATCCCTTATTTAAAATTATTTGTATTTGTGTTCATTTAAAAAAAAGGTTCATTTGAAAACTTTTCTTGTTAGTAGATCATCTACTTGATCATTTAAAACAGTTTTTTTTTAATTTTCTTTTACACTCATAACTTTTAAAACTAAATCAATTTAAATCATCTCTGAAAGGGTGACCAAGGAAATACACTTAACAAAATTTCTAATTAGTCATTCATTAAAATGCATTGTTTCGAAAAGTTTTAGCTTTATCATCCGGTCTAAATAAAATCAGTTTGACTTCATATAAGACGAGTTTTCATTGATCATTTTGAATAACAAAATGAAATCTTGGAATCTCGTCGGCCATTCTAAAATAAAAAGGAAAGGATATAGTTCTTGTCATTATAAGGTAGTTCTAAACTAAAATGTAAAGGATAGTTCTTGCCATTCTAAAATAAAATGTAAAGGATATAGTTCTTGTCATTATAAGGTAGTTCTAAACTAAAATGTAAAGGATAGTTCTTGCCATTCTAAAATAAAATGTAAAGGATATAGTTCTTGTCATTCTAAGGTAGTTCAAAACTAAAATATAAAGGATAGTTCTTGCCATTATAAAATAAAATGTAAAGGAGAGTTCTTAAACAAAATGTACAGGATAGTTCTTTAACTTTCTATTTAAATTGCTCAGATTTTAAGTTCTGTTTCTCCAACAAAATATTTTACGCTGCAGTTTAGATTTCATTACATTTTTCTTGTGAACAGTTCATTTTACGTAAGAACTTACTGCGTGTTTTTACACAAGATCTGAGTTTTAAATTTTGTCCAAAATAACGAGAATAATATCAGACCTAAGATTATGATGTTCAAATATGTGTCTGATATCTTTTATGATTATTGATGTGTTCAATTGATATAATGTTTACAATTTTCATATATTTTTGCATATTAATCAAGTATTTATAAAAAAAATTCCCTACCGACTGAGTAGATGGTGTTAGAAATTGAGTTCACTTACCAAAACACGAAAGGTTCGTTTAGAAACGTATAGATGTTCCATATCTTTCAAGATTAATAACCTTACAAGAAGTATTATGTCATTGTTGAAACTAAAAAACTAATATATGCAACTTAACAAGTTTTTATTCGATTGAGTATCATTTATTTAAAGATTTATTTCTTGTTTTATGTAATTTCTTTCAAACAATCGAAAAATCATCGTATTGTAATCAATCATGCCTAACCAACAAACAATTACGTGCACCACCAGAAAGTGATGTTACTGAACTGTAATGAATATATTCTTAGAAAAAACATAAAGATGCCGAAAATGTCATTACAGAAACGTTGTTGGATCTTTGGAATGTCTTTCAGCCTTATATTAACTTCCCATTGTAAACTTAAATTTAAAGAAAATGTAAACAAGAGCAATTTTTCCTTAAACTATGCATCATTAAAAAGCTAATACATGTAGTTAAAACAAATATAAGGAGTAAATATGAGCCACAGTCCTATTTTAACTGTCTGCACCTTAAAATGACAGTGGCATTTTCCGCCACTTTCCGTTTTGTTTACAAATCAATAAAGCGCCGATATGACCAGAATGAACAACATAATCATTGGATGCCACTGTTTTACATTTCCCGAAAATGTAAGAAATTATAAGTTGGTATAGCTAATATTTTCCTTAACAATTCATATTAAGGAATGATTTTATTAGAAATTTGGTTTAAAAAAAATGGTAAATAATCAGACGGACACGATTTATGATGATGTTATTCTATCACCATTTCATACATAATTAATTTTGATAAAGATAATGGTTTTGTTTAATATCCTCTTTTCAGAGGATTACAGAAATAAGTCTATAGACTCATTGATTGTTCCACTGCACGGAAATCTTTAGTAAAAGGCGAAAGATTTATTCGTGTCTGTAGTGAAACCAGAGTTAAAAGAAGAGGAAAGAAAATGCTTTAATACCAAATTTTATCTTATAAAATGGCAAGGTTTATTTTCTATCTAAACTGACCTTTAATTATTGATATAATAAAACAAGCTTACACATTTAGTTGTTTTCATTATATTTGATATTATTTTATGCTTTTTAATGATGAAAATGGGTAAAAGTATAAATATTAGTTAGAAAAGGGAAGTAAAAAAATTTATTTTTTGAAATGAAACAGATCCCTTCCCTTTACCAATTTGGTAAAAAAAATTTTCAATGATTTTGAAGATTTTGGACTTCCCGATAAAGTTCCTTTAAAAAACCAAACTTTTTAAATTTCCCTTTTTACGATTTTTTTCTCTATATTTTGAAAAAATTTCCCTTTAAAGTAAATTTTTGTTTTTTACTACATAAAACATTTTTTTAAATAAAAGCGGGTTTTGTACAAAAAATTTTTTGAGGAAAAAAGGTGAAAGCGGTTTTTGCCCCTTGCTGTAAGTAAAGTCTTGCAAATGATAGTTCCAGAACCTAGAACCTGGATGTGGAACAGTTGCATTCTGTATAAAGGTTAAGTATTTAGGAGTAGGCATTTACAAAATTAAACTGATCAAGGAACAAAAAAGGCGCAGTCGTTCATTTAAACTGCTTACCTACAAACACTACAACACAAAAACTGTCTGAATTCTTTTTATAAAACTGTTGATTAAATAGAATGTATTAAATTTCGCTGATTTACCAAAAGTGTTTTGATTCATTTGAATACTGCCAATTCTATTGGCCAACAAATAGTTTCAAACACTTTTTTGTAAAAATTTACATAATGCATCATTTTTCTAAAAATCAAAATCTATATATTAGAATCTACCATTATCGCATTTCTGTCAAAGTTCTAGCAAGTATCAAAAAGCAACACAATATGTTAAGCCTAGCATATAAATCGCATGTTTCTATATACATTGTTTTTAACTCACGGCAAAACTCAATTTCTTTAAAATGTAACAATATACATTGTAGATCTATGATAACATTCGATATAGATTCTAATTGTCATAGTTATCCTAAATATCTCTATGGCACTTCAGAGAGAGACTTTTCACAATAAAAAGTCAAAACATTTGAACCGAACATATTACATGTAATAATAACTTGCCAATCCGAATAAGAGGAACTCCAAAGGGGTCAAAAAGCCTTTAAAAGCATAAAAAATTTGATATTCATACATTGATAAAGTGTATATGTTTTCTATCTAAATTTATATAGACTTGAATTGGGGGGGGGGGGGGGGCGTAAACACAATTTTAGAAAATTTATTATAATTCTACGAAATTAATACCTGTAAAATAATTCTAACTCGTGTAATATGTTGGTTATTCATTCAGGAATGGTGCATAAATGGGTAAAAAACCGGGTATATTGAACATTGTTTGTGATCTTATTTTATTACAACATAAACATATTCTGAAACAGCTGTAACGTAGTGAAAATAAGCGCAAAATACATTTACTGCGGGAAAGAAGGGGCTATAGTTCTAAAACTTACGCTACTCGCCGAATTCTGCCGTTGAAAAGTAAAGAACAATATGCCTATCACTAACTGTACCAATTAACATTTGTTATATAAATTTACTTAAAGATAAATAAAAAGTATGAGATATGTGTCCGTTTAAATACTGTTACGAACCTTATACACGGGAGTGGAACCCCATATGGATCACAAAATTGAGCATCGGTAAAAAATATATGTGAATTTCCGCTGCTCTAGATGTTTGATTGCTTGGTAAGATCTTTTGAAAACTTTGTATTTGGAGGAGTCCGTTTAGCGGCATTTTCTTCATACGCATTGCATATTTTGGGCACACCAGAACCCACGACGGCAATAATATCTCGATGTAGACTGCATAAAAATTCCCAACAAAAAAGGGTAATTTAAAGGGAAAATCAGGAAAGGAGGGAAAACATTCCCATTTCTCAAAAAAACGCTTTATTTTTTAAATTAAAGTTAAAAAGGGGGAAAAAAATTTCCCCGTTTATGAAATTTTTTTTTTCACATATGAAATGAAACTAACATCTGGAAGCAACGGAAATTCACATATATTTTTTTACCGATGCTCAATTTTGTGATCCATATGGGTTCACACCCCCCCCCCCCCGTGTTAGAAAACGTGTAAATAAAACTTAATGATGAACAGCGGGTGTTACTATTTACATACTTATTCTACTAGGAAGTATGTGTTCTGACAATTAAATGGCGAGCAAATAAGAATTATTATATGAGGAATTAAAAAGTGGTAAAGAATCACTATGGAACGCCAGAGCTGCCACCGTGAAATATGTTGCTTACCTCAAGACCCTCCAGTATTTCTCTGCTCGAGTTGGAGTCGCTGGACGACATGGTTGAACGGCTCGTATTTTGGTTGTAATAGCAGACTTCGTCTTCATCTTCCGACGGTATACTAGGTAACGGAACATCTGACATAATAATGTACAATAATAAAAAAAGATAGTTATTTATTAATTGTTTCCATGGGGGGATATCAAAATGTACAATTTTATTAACATTCAAGTGAATAGCAATGACGTCATAACAAAAGTATTAGTTAATAATTACCATAATTTTGAAATTGTGTACTAATTTTGCTAGTAATAACAATAGTTTCCTACTTTATAATGATTTGATTATTGGGTTTAAAGTTACAGTGCCACGTAAGCAGGAAAGTGGTGTTAGTCCTATTATAAACATTTTAAAACATTTCACTTGCGGCAACTTTTTAAATGTTCTTTACGTGTTTTAAGTTCCTTACATGTTGTGTACATTTACTTACCTAGCTTTATATTTCAATCACTATCAAATAGATGCATAATAAAAAGTATTACTTGATGTAAATTTGTTGTCGTATTCCGGTAAAAAGCAAATTGGTCATACCTTGTCTTGTATTTACATATTCCGAGTTTTTTGACATTTCAAGCAATAAGAATGTTGCCCTTTTTCTTTGACTGGCCTGCTTGAATGCCTAAGTGAAAGACAAAATCGAAAAGTTGAATTTTATAATAAGGAAAAGGCATTTTTATAAGTATAAGTTGAGTATTAAACAACATTGTGTGGTTTCTTGTTCATATTATCAGTTATATAGTCATTTACAGAAGTAAAATCTAACCGAAAAAGTTGCAGCTGATTAGAGTTTACATCGTAAATAATTTACCACACATAAGAAAATATACATCGGACATTTAAATTCTATAGAATAATGCAATATTTACAATTGGAATCACCATATCGGTGTACCATTTACTTTTGGATTTTATACGCAGTATATTGGTGTATTAGTTATTGGATTATATGTATATTGGTGTAACGTTCAGTATTGGATTTGCAGTATTGGACTTTTTATATCAGTGTACCATTTTACTAATGGCATCTTAACCCATTGGGTTCTGTGTATTAGTGTTTCATTCATTATTGGACTTACATATTGGACGCGTCATTCACTATTGTTTTTTTTTATTTCGTAGTACACCATTCATTATAGAGTTTTATATATTGGAGCACCATTGATTGATTAACTTTTTTATATTGGTGCACCATTGATTGATTAACTTTTTTATATTGGTGCACCATTGATTGATTAACTTTTTTATATTGGTGCACCATTGATTGATTAACTTTTTTATATTGGTGCACCATTGATTGATTAACTTTTTTATATTGGTGCACCATTCACTAATATGATTTATATAGTGGTTCATTTTTCAGTATTGTCATCTTTATAATGATGTAAATCTACCATTCAGTACAGGATTCTATAAATTGGTATACCATTTAAATCTTATATTGTAAACCCATTTAAAGGTCTCGCGTTATCTATAAAATCTCGCGATATCTTGAAGATCACAAGATATTACCTGAACCCATTTGTCTCTCTCTTGTTCAGTATTTACACCTTTCTCACTTGGTAATCTGAAACTAAAAATATGACAAACATAAATAGTATTAAATACCATATTCATTGTTAGTAATTTTGTATTACAATGTATTACTGTACTAGTAAATAAACATTTAAGAATGGGAATTATATGGTGGCTGATTTAGTACACTTTTGTGCGTTTGGTTGTTCTTTGGACAGCCACGAAAACGCAAAAGGGGTTGTGTCCCCACTGCGTTCTTTTCTTCATGTGCTAAAGGATGCAAAGCCAAACGGGGGGTTCTTTGGGTTTGTCGCGAAAGTCACATTTTTTTGTTTGTTTTCAAAACGAAGGATTCATAAAGTTAAACCCAAGCACAGGGGGGATATCGCGACAAAAGCCGGGACGACAACGCGCCGTTTGGGGCGCTTCACACCGACCCAAAAACCCCCACACGAAAAGTGCCCACAACGAAACCTTTAAACGTTTGTCGTGGGTGTCGTAGCGATAAGACGAAAAGGCGATAACGATATTGGTCGTGTTGTCGCTATCGACAACGCAACGCGCAAGTGTACCAAATCAGCCATCATAGTATTAAGTATAATTTTGCTAGACTCTCAAACAAATGTTTCAAATGTCTTGGCTGATGGTAAGTTTAACGTGTCGTGTGTATGGTGCGTGTAACTACAAATTCAATTGAGGTCTACAGTACATTTCGTGCGGACGTGCACAAGCCAAGTGAGCGTATAAGAGTAGTGTGACCCTTATGCATGTATTTTTGAAAAATATATATATTCCGGATCATTTCTGACAGGGATCCTTGAACTTCTGGTGTTCTTTTCAGGCATTGGCCATATTTTACCGAACTTATGAGGGTTCCATCAAAAGCAAAATGACATGAATGTTTTAATATTTTGTCCGGTGACGTAAAAGACAACCAACGTACGTACTGCTTGTCATTTCTAATTGATGACACCATGTTGTCCTTACCATACTTTACACGGAATTACTTTTTTGAATTCTAGGTCAACAATGAAAATAATCTATTTTTATCAAACCGCCAACTTACTAGTACGATCTATCCCTCACAGCAACAACAAAGCCGCTCTGTCCATTTGTGTTCACTGATGTAGAGTTCTCCCATAATTGAACAAGGTTGAGTGCAACCTATTCAAAGGAAAGAAGGAAAGAACATATTATATACATAAATCTCATAATTCGCATTACAAGTAATTATGAATAAATCGTATCCCTCACTTCTACCACCTTTTCACTCTTAAAGGCACAGTTTCGATAGTCATTCCATGAAATAATGCCAGTTGAGGTATTTTGGTTTAAACATATTTATGTAGGTTCTAGCAACTTATATTAGTCACTTTCGAGTCCGCTTCCTGGAACCAGGGTCTTTCAAATAAAAATATATATTCTATTCGAAGGACCCTGCTGGAACGAACTAGTACTGGTGCCAGATGAAGAAACATGGTCGTGACCCGATTAGGGCTCGAACCCATGATCCTAGGTATGAGAGACAGACACCTTAACCACTATACCGCTCCCCTTGCTTAAAGTACTTTAAGTTTCTATGATGGATATAAAAATGCGTTTCCTACGATTTGTCCAAGATAAAAATTGCATCAAAACATGTTGTGTCAATTGAGGTATTTGTTCTTGTGAAATGCATTTGATGTTCTGACTATTTTATGTATGATAATAGTTACTATACCTCATCTCCAGGTTTATAGTAGGAAAATTCTCCAGGACATACTTGTAGTCGACGCCTGTAAAATAAATGATATGAGCCATGTCACGACAAAACCGACATAATGGGTTTGCGACCAGCATGGATCCAGACCAGCCTGCGCATCCGCGCAGTCCTGATTTCAGGATCCATTGGCTGTTGGCTTTACAAACCCTAAACAATTGAGAACAGCATGGATCCTTTAATCAGACTGCGCGGATGCGCAGGCGGTCTGGATCCATGCTTTTTGGTCAAAAAACTAATTAAATTTGGTTTTGTCGTTACGCGGTCATTACTCCGTTGTTAATATTACGGAACAATAACCCTGGGTTATTTACTAAATATAAATGTACTTATATACGTTTTCTGTTTTTGGGACATAGATTAAGCATGCACAGTATAAGACATGAAAGCAATTCGTTATCAATATTGTAAAAATATAGCTATAACTGAATTTATTGAGAACTTGTATAAACATGTTTTCGGTTATTTTCAAACTGTACACTGCAAAAAGCGTTTGATTACGAGTACGTATAAATTGAGATAAATTTAACAAACTACTTCGCGGGGAAACATGCACATTTGATGTGTCATTCAAAAGTTGATGTGTTCGAGTGTTCGGGCTCAAGTGTATGTTGGGCAGATATTTAAGTTTCATGATTTTATCCAGACTTCTGTCAAGAAAGAAGTCCCGATGACCCACGTCATGCGACTTCCAAATGTATTCTCTTTCATCATTCAGGAATCAGCGGCAGGCATACTTTGATCTTTCTTTCCACATTAAAACATGTCATTCAAAATAGGTTTTAAAAAATGTTGACAAATAACGTCAAAGTGACATAACTTCCTGGTCTATGAAATAAAACGCTTTAGAAAATATTTTATCATATCCTAGAGCATACCTGTATTAAAAGGTGACACCCTTTATTTATATTTCAGCTTGGATATCTGTAATCTCAGATTTGTATAGCCTTACAAAATATATTGTTATCATCTTATTAAATTTCAAGTCTTAAATTATAGATATAACAGGCAATACGTTTGGTTAATAATACGGGAATACCCTGGTCTTCTATGTCTAAATATAGACATAAATTTGACAATTAATCATATTTGTCATTATTTTTGGACATTTAAAACTTCCTCTTGTTTGATTGAGTGTTTTTTTCTATTACCTTATACGTTTGTTTTAGACTGTTTGTTTATGGCTTGTCCCTTGTACAAATATCTGCGTTTTTGTCTTCTCAAATGAGTTATTAAAGGCAAATTGTCCATCGTAAGAAAAACACAAGAAATTGTAACATGTATAAGTCCATTTTTAATGTTGATCTAGGATAAACACATGATATAGAGATCTACTAGTGCTCAAGTCTGAGACCTAACTCTAACAGTTTACTATACTTGTGTTGCTCTTTTTCTTAACACTTAACTTACAGTAACCGGAAGTGATTAGCCTTTGTTACCAGTATAGAGCCAGGCTAACTTGCACATTCGGGCAATCTAACCAGGTTCTTTACTGGTGGCTGACTAACTTTAAAGGCCCATTATGCCTAGAAATGCTATAAATTTTATTTCTCAAAAACTTTTTTTTATTTTTGGTATCTTATTAAAGTTTCTAAAAAATACTTATAAGCCATTTTCATGAACTCTCTCATGCTTCTTTTGCTCTGTTCGCAATTGGTATGATTATAGTCATTTTTTCTCTATTGGTAATTGGTATACATAATAGTCAATCAGTATTTTGTATGGAAGTCAAAATTCTACTTTTTTTACATTTTACTTCCTTTATAACACATTTCTGCACGTTCAGCGCTACTTTCTTCAGCAGTTAAACATCTAGCATGTTCTTAAACGATTATAAAAATATTATCAAACATATGTTTGACATTTCTGAAGAATTAAATAATATGAATTTCTGAGGCATAATGTGCCTTTAAATCTTTATCTGGATATACTCAAAAAATGATAATGGACAGGTCAAAATAGCTGAACAAATCCATTGCAATAGAAAAATGGACAGGTCAAAGATTAAAGAACACAACGTCATTTGACGCTACGTTGACGTGTAATTGTAGAGGGGCACAATTCCTATTCCATCAACGTTTTACAGGGCGTGTTTCGGAGAAGAAGTAAACGCATGGTGTAAAAACATACCTTGACCATGTTGGTATTTTGGTATTGCCTTTCTTGTCCAGAATTCCTTCCTTTAAAACTTGTTTCTTTGTACAAAGGTTTTTTACCCCATTGTCACGTGTTTCAATGCCTGTGTAGATGAAAACAATTAATAACGATAAGTGTACAAAAACATCACAACCTTCTCTCCGGCAGGAAAAGTAAAACTTAAGTGCCTGAACAATTGTATGGTGGCATATTTCTGCCACCAGATAACCTGATAACTAACTAGTTAACCTCTTAATTAACTAGTTAGTTATCAGGTTATCTGGTGGCAGAAATATGCCACCATACAATTGAGACAATGTGTATAAAGAAAAATATGTCAAAGCGGAAGGCAACTTGGATGCATTATTTCCAAAGGTATATGACCATTGTTGCTCTATTATTTTTCCCATTTTGCTTGCAGAAATTTTTTATGTGCCTACAATAAGAGTGCCTTTTTGATACTTTTTTCTTCAAAAAGTCTCCAAATATTTAAGATTTGTTAAAATGATGTGTAATGTCATTCACGACGTCACAACAGCTTTAATTATTATCCCAATAGGTTTTATATATAGCAGTGGGATATAGATTTGGCGTTGTCCGTGTTAATCCTTCCGTTCGTCAGTCCATCTGTCCGTCCTTAACATTTTGACCGCAGCATAAAACTTACACTATTTTTAGTTATAAACCTGACACTTCATATGTGATCAAACACATGTATATAATATCGTGGTACCCAGATACCACATATAATGGATAATCGCAACAATTTAATTTAGTCTATTTAGATTTGTATCATAATAAATTAGCAATACTATTAATTAAACATATAATTCACTAATAATTTACGAATAAATAAATACAATTTAAGTATTATCAGAATTAGCATAATTTACCTCACTGATGTATTTTGAATAGTAATTACGTTACACAATTATATTTATCTTCAGATTATATCTCAAAAGAATAACGTGAGAAAAAAATATATATACACCACAAATAAATTAGTTTTTTCCTTCTCAATATAAAAGTATTAACTATGCCACGACCTTACTGTATCAATGTGAACCATTTATAATCAGGCTGAACTCATTTCAAAACGTTGTTAGCATGTGTATTAAACCCTAATATGTCGTCTGACTCATGAAAAAAATATTACAAAAAAACTTTAAAAGTACAGATCTATACTTTAATGGTTACACTCAAAGTTGTCTTTTTATCACTTTGTGGTCTAATAGCATACTAGTATATAAGAAGTGGCACTAAGTCTTGTTTACACTTGTTCCCTCTCTCTTGAAAATTGGCTTATTCCTGTAATTTAGTTGTGATTAATGCTTCCGATGGATCACCTTTTTCCAGATTTTTATTTGAACTACTTGTTCAACTACTTGAAATAAAATGCTGGTCTTTGAATAAAGGTTTGCCGGAAGTGCTTTTTGGGTTTGACTGTATAAATCTACCTATAACTTACCATTTGTTTGTACAGGTTCTTGATTAAGAACAATGCCCAGCAGACGACATATTGTATACTTCTCCTCGGCGGTGTCTGCATCAAATTCGAGCACCTTGTTGTTTCTAAATCGGATAACAATGTGTAGATTTTCCTGGGAAAAGAAAAGGTTCATTGAAATAATTTTCAAAATTGTGACTGTGCAGTTTTGAAAAAGGTGAAATTGCATGAATTGTATGGCATTTTATACTAATACATTCAAAAGCTACATGTAGACAAAAGTGACAAAGCGACAAAAGTAAGACAGCGTGACGTTTGGCGTACATCGTTAGCGACAGGACGACAAGACGAACGTCCGACAACGCGGCGTTTGGCGCTTTGTCCTGTTGTCGCTAGCGCCAACACGACGCACAAATCAGCCACCATAGTTTTCCGTTTTATTACGTGTGTTACGTTTCTTATGTCGGCATTGTCCGGTTAAAGACGGATGAGATTTTATATAACATATATTTCATTGTGCGAAATCGTTACGTAATAGAACTTTAACTATACCTCGGAGTCATACTGGTCCAAGTTTGAGAAATCGTAGGACTTGGATATTTTTCCCCTTTCTATGAGGCTTATTCTTTTACACGAAAAGTCAATCTGAAAAACGAAAAAGAAAGGATTACTGCGTAAAGCATTTAAAATAAAGCATTAATCTGATAGTTTGTTTTCCGTATTGTTAAAATAATAATTCTTAATATGAAATCAAAAAAGCTCTCTGACAAATTTAGCTTTAATAGATAAACTTTTATTGATAAACTTAGATAGATAAAAGCCGGATGTGTTAACTAATATTTGATTAAAATCTGAGGCATGTAGGGCTACATTTAAGTTTCTTCACAGAAATAAAACATACATCAGACAGAAAACTTTATCATATTGACAGTAGACACTGATATAAAATCACTGCCTTTACGGAAGTTTAAAAAAAAAATGCGAAAATGAAGATACTTATAAATTACGTTGTCCTCATTGAGGGTCAGGTAAACAACCGTGATATACCTGAAATATTGTCCTTTTCCCCGACTTCGTGTATATTCCGAAGTTGTGAGCGGAATTCAGTGTAAATATCTCCCCCATTGTAACTTCAGTTGGTTTTCCCTCTGTTCTACATAACTTCTAGTCTATAGTGGCGTGCAACCTACTTTTAAATAGTGGCATACAACCTGAAAGAAAATTAGGTACCCTTTAATGATTGTAAAGATTTTTTTGAATAAATATATTCATAAAACCGATTCAAATACGTGCATTCTTTGCATGCATTATTTTTTTTAAAATGAGCCAATGTCGTCTGCGCAAGATAAAATACATGTATACAATTGATTTTTTTCTACATGATGTTTCACTAAAGACCCGATTATTTGGTCGTTTTGTACACATAAAAAGCCTACATTTTGTTGTTTTAATCACCCAATTTTTGTTCAATTATTAGCAGACTTGGTCAAGAGACGTACAAAAGTTGATGAGTCGGTGCCACTGGACCAATAAAATTTTTACTGAGCAAATGGGTTCATGTAGTTTTAAATCAGGGGTTTTTTACCGATACGGGGTAAATAACTTGGCTTACCCAAAAAGATGAATTTTTCTTCACGTAAGTCCTTTTGTACTCAAAAGCAAAAAAAAATGGCCAAAATGGATATGAAAATTTTTCTTTTTTTGCACTATTGAAATAATTTAATTTAAATGTACCATTTTTGGGAATGTTTTCCCCAAAAAAGGGGGATGTATTTATTTTAAATAGGTTTTTAAAAAATGGAATTTTTTAGTTTCATTTTTACCTTTACATAAAGGTCAAAAATTTAAAATTTTAATTTTAAAATTTTTTATAGGGTTTTGTATTTGTTTTTTGTTAAAAATGTGGGTTTTGGTCAATTGTGGGTGTCCCAATTTTCCCTCGGCCCCCCCTGGAACTGACGAATTGTTGTATGACATGGGGGAAAAATTATTCCATTCTATTCGCAGAGCTTTCTTCTAGCTCCTATAAACAGCTGCAAGTTGATCCCAAATGCGCAGAATAAGAACATAAGACAAGGGTCGGTAGAAACTGAGGGTCAACGTCATTTGCATTTATCAATAATTATTGTTTCGTCATATTATTACCCGAGTCATAAAACGCTGTTAATACCATAAATTGTATGGAGTCTTTCTTGTTTTATTTTTTGCTGTTGTTGTTTGTTTGTTTTGTTTGTTGTTTTTTTTTCATCTCTTACCGCGCGAAACTGCAAAAACCATGTGTCTTTTTAAAACATAAAACAAGATATATTTCTCTGAAGGGAAAAAACTTGAAATTTGGTTAATTAGATAATCGAAATCATGGTTCCAAACAGCATATAATTATTTAAATAATGGATATCACAAAATAATGTCAAATTACATGCACAGTTTCTATTGCAAAGGCCCATACACAGTTTACTTTGCATTTGAGTTACACACACGACTGCTGATAATTTGTGAACTATTATTTTCACTTTTTTCATAAAGGTATTGATAGTCTTATTAACCTTATAAGACGTACAAAAAAGGACTTTCGAACTGGAAAATATGAAAATTGACCGAAAATTGAATCGCAACTGTCTGCATCCGTTGTTGTTTATTAAGTTAAACGTAAAATGTGCATGACAAAAATGTCAAAAAAATAAACATCCGAGTAAAATATCTTTAGATCTATTTCAGTTCTATTTACAGTACATACAAACACACGCCCATTAATGCATTCACTTACTAGTATTCAACTATAAGTGCAATGAGATCCTAATATTTTAACAATTGCGCATATCTTGATTAAATGTTTACGACAGAAACCCTATCTATGCCCTGCAACCACGTCCCATTACGCCTTCCTTCATTTTTTGTTACACACATGTCGAAATAGTGCACTTGTAAAATTTTGTTGAACACAAACTAACTGGCTAATGATACATTATATTATCCGTTTTATAGAACTACACTTTCTTCACATCTACAAGACAGCGTTATTGACTATACTAAAACAAGATCCGGAATAATGTAGAATTTAATTTTCAAAGTTAAAAGGGTCCATAATTCTGTCAAAATTCGTGTTAGAGTCATGGGCATCGAACAATGACCTCATATTATGCTATCAAATGAGTGTTTAGTAGTTTTAGAGATAAAATGTACCAATTTGCACGAAAAACAAAACGAGTATAATAGCTCTACCTATTCTTAGATTAGTCGAGCTTAAATTGAGACAAAAATTTAAAGATAATATATATTAGTATACCTATATATTAAAACATTATATCTTAAGGAAGAGTATATTCTAACAAATATCACGTGAATGTAATTTTAGTCTTTATAGCTGAACAAAACATAACAGATTTTTTTTACTTACATAAACAAGTACATGTATACAAATATAAACAGTTTTACTATGACTATAAACATAAATTACAAGATGAGGTTGTATCAGATTGTATCAATATTTACATCTTAGCTCGATTTTTTAGAAACATCATTTAATAAAGACAAACTTCTATTGATATCATCTGATGTTATGCCTAAGATGATCTAGATTAAATGTTTACGACAGAAACCCTATCTATTCCCTGCAACCACGACATATATTTATATAATATAAGATATGTATATATTTGCAAAAATATTCTAAAAAGAGGTAAAATAAAATCGGTGAAATTATCTCCCCTTGTCGCAACCTACATCATAATCATAGAAAACAAAGATTTTTCTTAGTTACAAATATACTTTACTAAGGGCAACAATTAACCTCTTATACCAAAATTTCAATAAGGGCAACAATTTACCTCTTTTATATACCAAAATTTCTCGATGCGTTTCCCTGCCTTTTTATCAAGGTCCTTTTATTACACCAATGGATTACAAGAAGAATTTCACAGGTATTTGTTTATTAAAGAACACATGTCGATGTCTATGGTTAAATATTTTGTTATTTAGATAGAATTTATAGTAGGGATCTATGAATTGTAACCCTTCATGCGGCAAGAGGAGCAAAATAGCAAGACAAGACAACGCCGAAGGTACACGACAAAACAACATGGAATAAAATATGACATAACAAGAGAAAAGATTATGCTTTACTACATTGCTATAAAAAAAGTATTATTTGTTAAAAAGAGCGAACTGATTTCGTTCTTTTGTGTCAACTAAACTGAAGCTACTAGATACCTGGTATAAAAATGTGTGTTAAACTTGGGTTGTCAACGACGAAAAATGCAATAAAGTCGTTAAATCCGTAAAATTCAAACCTATTCAATTCACGAGGGCTGGGATCAGTGATATATAATTGTTAAGTACTTTGCTATCAGCAGATAATATTTCTCATTGGGTATTCTACATTAAGATAAAACCTTCAATTTAGGAAGTTCATATCGCTAAGAGAATGTGATCGATACATTCATAAAAACAAAAGTGGAAGAAATGTGTCATTTACAAAGTGGGTTTTTGTGTTTTGTTTTCTCTTGTTTTTTCGTTTCTCTTTTGGAGCTCGAGTTGTTCTGTTGTTGTTGTTGTTGTTGTTATTGTTGTTGTTGTTTTTGTTTTTTGGGGGGGGGGGTTGTTGTTGTTTTTGGGTTGTTGTTGATGTTGTTGTTTTGGGTTGTTGTTGTTGTTGCTGCTGCTGCTGCTGCTGTTTGTTTGTGGTTTTTGTGTGGTTTATTAGGGGTGGAGTGGGGGAGTGGTCAGCATGATGGGGCTATCCTACTCACACAGGCGTTTGTCTTACCTAAACATTTACCTGAAGTTTTGCGTTCAGTTAGTGTCGCAACTTTTGTCATTAGCCGTGCAACTATTCAATTGAATTTTTGTATGACCTTGAATTTAAATAAATATTTTGGATGCAAGCTTTCACTTTCAGCATGTCTACATGGTCATAATCTTAAATCACATACCAATACTTGTACTAGAATGTTTTAATTGCATTGTCCCTTTTTAAAGTTAGAAAATCAAGAATCACGTCAGTGCCCAGTGTCCTGTGCCTTCTCGGTAACGAGCATGTGCTTTGACAGTGGGATATAAGGGGCATTTCTTTCGCACTAGTTGCTCTTTCTCTCTTTCCCTCGCTGTGGGCACGTCGCAATGAAGGCGCATGCAGGCACCGGCAGAAGATTTGGAGCTTGGCTGATGCATCACCAAGGTCACATTGACTGGTTATGGATCGAGCGCTGTTGTTGTATACCGGTATATGTATAGGGATGATCCTTGAGACCACACCACACCTCAGTTGCTGGTTAGTTAAGCTTCTATATCAACCCACGACTCTGCTACCGATGTACTAACTAAAGCCGAGGGCATTGGCTCTACAAAGTAGGCCGGAGGACGAGGAAAGTGTGTTAGTGTGCATGAGCCCCTAGCACTGAGAGTGACGGGTTGAAAGTCAGGCCCTTAGCTGGCTTAACAACTATTTTCGAGGTTACTTTCTTCTTTTCATATTGTCTTAGATTACTGTACATTTAGGTTCTCATTGGCCGCCGTACAGTGATCTACTTTTGGCTCAAAATTCATATTTTGGCTAATACTCCGTGAAAATTACATAGAGGTAAATGATAAAATCATCTCCACTTGATGGTCCACAATTAAGAAATTGAGGGCATGGCTGGTGTTATATCCGTTGTCCGATAGTTAAAGCTGCATCTAGTGCCTTAACTCCTACGTAGGAGATAAAAAAAAGTCTTACATAGGCATTTGTAACTCCTACGTAAGAGATTAAAAACATAAATAGGAGTTTATATCTCCCACTTAGGACTTTATACCTACTACGTAGGACTATGTAGTAGGAGATAAAAAAATGCCTAATTAGGAGTTAAATCATGGTTGAACACTTTAAAAGTCCCACTAGGTTATATGTCCTGCGTAGGAGTAAAATGCCATAATTAGGCTTTTAAAAGACTTACGTTTGAATTGTAATCCTCGTAGAGATAAAAAGCTTAATAAGAAGTTTAAGAAGTCCATCACGTAGGACTTTATAACTCCTACGTAGGAGAACAGTTAAAAAGTCCCACGTAGAAGTTATTAAGTCCTAATTAGGATTTTTTTTATCTCCTACGTAGGAGTTATCATTTTTATAGAACATGTTAAAAATTGGCACCAGGACGCTTCGGTAAATAGTTGAAATGCATATAAAGGTAATGAAATATGATAGGGACTCGCATCATATGATACAGTTGTAAAATATCTAACAATAAACTGTTACTGTTTATTATATTCTGCACATCTGTCAGCATTTAGGTACTTTTACAATTTTTTTTTTTTTTTTGATAAATTTTGCATGGATTTCATATGCCTATGTACATAGGAGTATCATAAAACCTACATGAAAATAAAGCAGGCATATTAACATCCAAATTATTATATTCTATAATAATATGACATGATATTGTGTAAACATTTCTAGGGGGACATTTGCGTCATAACACAAGTATATATGTCAATATTGACTGTACCCTTAAGGCACGCGCATCACGTGCTTCTATTGAACAGTTTATTTCTATCATAATTACACATTAAACAGCGGTCACTTCAAAGAGGAGATGTATCCAACTAGGTTATTTTCGTTTTTAATAAAGTTGCATTGTTTCTATGATATCCTAGGGACAGTACATACAATCTAATTTTATTTCCACCGTAGAATCGCGAAAAGTTGAATCCATTTTAGTCCAAACATTTCACATCAATGGATATAGCTTTGTTTCAAGTTTATTCTAATTTATTCTAAAAGTATTAAAAGCAGCTATAGAAATTAAGAATTACTCATCTTAACTGTCCAGGCCTTGCTAACAGACAAATTTGGTTAAACACGGTGCCAATAACAGGTGATTGTTAATGATTTGCATGGCAATAAACCCAATACAAAAGACGGTCCGAGGTTTATTTTTAGCCAGAACTTTAAAATAATTATATAATTATTTATATGAAGTGTAGATCCCGGTTATTCTAGCTAGAAGCCCATGTTTATTCAAGAGAAAAAAAATCATTCTTTTTTTCCTTGAATATGATAATTCAAGCACATGTTTTCACTTTCCGAAAAAATAATGATTTTCTCCTAAAATATTCTTATGTGATCGTTCTACATTTTATCAGGTGCCACGTGCGGATCTTAAAATGTCACGTGGTATAGGCAAGTGAAAATAAACATTTTAGTGATTTAGTAAGTTTCTTACACAAGCGTTCTGCACATTTACTATATAAAAAATATATTTAATATGGTAAATGGGTGCTGGATAGTTATTTTATATAGTAAACGGGTGCTGGATTGTTATTTTGTTCTTGATGATCAAGGGGTGATTATTTTATGATAATTTGACCATTATTGGCATGGCAAATATGCCGAACGCCAGTGGTTTCTCATATATGCATAATGGTGGTGGTCTCTTACTGTGGTTAGACTGTACCAGGGTCTTTCATTTGAAAGACATTGACTGTAAAGACCTTGACTGTACTAACAATACATATCATATGTGTGTTTGTATGATTCATCTCCGCGTGTCATGGGATCTCGATTAGTATATACATAGATAAAATGACCAAATTAAGAATCCATTAATGTTATCTGTTTATGGTTTAGCTAACAAGAAACTTGATATATTAATCACACCATTACCATTATCACACAGTAAGGACTATAAGTTACACCGTGTTATCCGAAATATCCCGAATACATACGATTATTAGGCATTTTTACTTGTAAAACTATTACAATGCTACACTAGTGTAGTGCACTTATTTTGTATTATATTCCAATGGAAGTAAAAAGGGTTTCAATGACAAAATAATCCATTAGAAGTTTAAGGGTTTCCATATTAAACTATAGTGCAATTGTGGTTAGAATCAAACTAGCCCATAATTAGTAAAAGGACACTCAATATTAAAATAGCCCATTAAGTAGTAAAAGGGAATTCAATATCAAAATGGTCCAATGGTAGTTATTTAAAGAGGCATCAATGTCAAAATAGCCCAGTTGTACTTAAAAGAGATTTCAATATAAAAATAGTTCATTAGTAGTTAAAGGGTTTCAATATCAAAATAATCCAATAGTAGTAAAAATGGTTTCAATATAAAAATAGTCCATTAGTAGTATTAAAGGGGTTTCAATATCAAAATAGTCCATAAGTAGTTAAATGGTTTCAATATCAAAATAGTCCATTAGTAGTATTGTTAAAGGGGTTTCAATATCAAAATAATCCAATAGTAGTAAAAAGGGTTTCAATATCAAAATAGTCCATTAGTAGTATTAAAGGGGTTTCAATATCAAAATAGTCCATAAGTAGTTAAAGGGTTTCAATATCAAAATAGTCCAGTAGTATTGTTAAAGGGGTTTCAATATCAAAATTGTCCATATGTATAGTTAAAGAGGTTCCGATATCAAAATATTATAACTAGGCAGCATGACTCTAGTTATGCTGGTGATTAGCATTCAAAAGAGATTTGCACGAAAAGTGATATTTCAACCTATAAAGTGTTGGTAAACAAGTCAAATTGATTATATAGACAACATTTTTGGGACCGATTCGACTAAGGGTCGATTTTACTTCAAACATGAGCTTTGACTTTTAAAATATAGAAGAAAAATCGTGGTGCAAGTCTATTTCTTTATTATTGTTTTGTCTGTTATAAAACGAAAGAGCAACCAAACTTCTGATTTTCAAAATTATATTGTTTATTATTTAAAATAAAACTTGATAATGAATCGTTTTGTGCACTATCATAAACATGTGCATTTGCATATTTCGTCTGCATTTAGTATACAATTAGCAATTAGAAATTAGCAACCAGAGCATAAAATGTATACACAGTATATAAAAATACAAAAACTTTGTACATGTATATAGTAAATGCATAAAAAGTTACAAAGAAGTAAACTATATTAAGTGAACTTACAAACTTTTAAATATATTCCAATTCAATCGAGTAAGTCGCCAAAATAGTAAATAGTTTATAAATATATAGGGTATGAAACATCGTGATGTTTATATTTAAGTATTCCTGTCATGCATTGTGGGATATGTTATGGTCTCACGCATGGGAAAAAATGCATATATAATTATGTGACATTTAACTTCACCTTAAATACTCTAAAAAAGTTAAAGATACTAGCGAACGAATATCTAACACGAAAGCTGCGAATTCATTTACATGTATTTTAAAAGTTCTCTCATTCACAGTGGGGGGAAAAAACTTTTTTGTTTTCTGTGAATAAAACGTTACGTATGGTATACTCATTTATACTATCAGCTATATACATACATATGGATTAGATCCTGTTGTGGTCGCAATTTAATTATAAATGTAAGAAACGTAAAGCTTAAATACAATAGGGCTCGAAAGCAGCGTAGTTTTAAATATACAAAATATTGTCTTAAAATAACAGTTTACAATAAGATAATACAATAATAGGGCGTATTTAGTTTATAAAGAGAACTGTTTATTTGATTAACCCCTTATCACTAGGTTGAATTAGTCAAACAACCAGGAAGAGGCCGATTATTTTGGTTATTTTTTTCACGTAGATCTATATATGAGTTTACTTTAAAACCAATAGTACATTTTTATTAATTAACCGAGATTTAATTTACATACGGTAATTCAAATGTTTCTTTATTTGTTTCTCAATTAAGTTTTGGAATAGTTACACCGCGCATACGTAGATCTGATATATTCAGTGGTAGATATACATGTATATTTTGTTTAAATTGATATACATGTAGTAGACTATCGTTAATTAGCAGTGAACATGACCCGAAGTTCATTAAAAATATGTCGAATCTGGTTAAATTGATAAATCGCATGTCCGCACGTCACCCCCGAGCAAGTTTTGGTATTATTTATGTGATACACCATCATCATATTAATGTAGATAGGTACACACATCATCATTTTTAACAACTGGAAAAAAAAGAATTTCTGTGCACACAAAATTAAAGAGGCTAGTTCTGACGTTAATGTTATGGCGCCATTTTATGTTAAACTACATTTACCGTAATATAAAGTCTGTTGGAGGTTAGGTAATTAAATGCCGAAAATCATTAACAGGAGATTCGATTCCAGTCTCAGATCGAAGAGATACCATTGGTCAAAATCAATATTGTGCTTAAAATCAACCAATCAAATGTCATTGTGATTAAAAGACTGGTTGTCTGTCTTACAATTTTGAACATCATGATATCGTTGTTATAATGCATTACCTCAATTTATTTAATTTTTCTGCGTATATAAATTGAGGACATTATGTCATTGACAAGGTAAACAACAAAACACAAAATGTTTTACAAGTAAAAATAAGGAAATGTATTAATAAAATATTAAAACTTTACCTTCATGTACGAAATTAAATCCAAGAAATATATCCGGTGTATTTTTTCTCTCTGAAAAATTCACACAAATCGATTTGTAATCGATAAATATCTATCAAAATCAATCAGTTAACAATAAAGATAGTTAAGTTTAACTGCATAATTTATCAGGCCAGTGTTTGACAGGTTTTATGGATCTAAATAAAACCCGTCCTACTGTCACACTTCTCTAAACGTTAACTTTACAACCCGGAAGGTCCCCAGATAACATTTGGTTATATATTATTACCCTGTTGTGTAGCTCGATACGGTAATGTAAAAAAATACCTTTGCGTATATTAAAACAAAAAATATAATTTGTACTTATAATCATTCTAAATTTAGTGTTTGAATACACGTAACTAACATGAATAAAATGCATGTATCTAATATAGATATGTGAATAAATAAACATGTCGACATTTAGCGGTTGCTTTAAACGGTTAACTGATTTCGGTACACTTGAGATTATAAACCATGGTCAGTAACTTTTAATTTCGGATAAGTGACCATTAAAATGTGACAATGACAAAAAAAAACAAGCTTGTGTGCGTGCGTGCATACGAGTTTACATTGGTAAACGGAAACCAAAATATTGATGAAGTCTCCTCAAAGCATTTGTCATTTCACATTTTAGACTATAGTGTAAAGCAAAGGCAATTCATCGAGAATTATTTAAACTTGCAAGTAAAGTCCTCTAGATATATAAATTGCGAACTGAAAAAAGTACAATACATTTCACTGTATATGTAGTTGGTAGTCCGAAATTGCTACATCTTTATTTCATTCTATCATAAAAAAGTCTGATTTGCTTTCATCAAATTGATCCGTTATCACCGAACCTTTAATATCGTCTTGTCTTTGCCTTATCCTTAGGTTTTCAATGAGCCGCTTGTCTGCTTTAATATTTTAGCGCCATATTTTCCTTCAGAAATATAGCGCCAGACGATAAACTTACTTACTTTTCGAATGGTCCTAGATTTTACTTATTCTATCTTGACTACCGAAAATATTTGCTGATTTCTCCACAAAAAGCACGTGACTGAGCGGTAGGATGTCGTACAAAATCGTCAGAGAAATATCGTGCAGAGTCTGTATTTCATCCCTACTCCATCTATGTCTTTATGTTTTGCAGCTTCTTCTTTACTCTATGTAAAATAAATCAACTTAATTATTATTTAGGTATAGTTCCGTGTTTAAATATTTTCCACGTAGACATGTCCACAGCCAATATAGCAACAAGAGTATGTGCCTTGAATTATTGAAGATTTTTTTTTCATGACATTGCTTTTCCGCTGAGTTGGCCAAACTTACACATAAAATGAGAACTTAAAAGACTTCCTGTAACAAAATATTACAGAGCTGTATTATAGGCCCAAGTCTCCGAAAACATCGATTCTCAAATGTCAGCAATATATCAAACTTCCGTAATATCATATGGAAAAAAATAAGTTTAAATAATAAAAGAAGTTACATAGATCTAATGTTTTAGGTCAAGGTGGTTGTATATATAGAGGATATTCAAGCTTTTTATATAAATATTGTATTTATTTTCATCGAGTGGTATGAAAGTAAATATTTCATGAGTGACAGTAGCCACAAGTGAAAAATGATAATTTTCGTACCATAAGATGAAACAGATCCTGTATTTGTAGAAAAATTTGAAATTTCTGTTTATAATATACATTTTTCTCTTATTTGACATTAGAATTTGAATGACTTTCCCTTAGATTTTGTACATTGACTGTATATAGCAGAAAGTAGTCCGGCAAGACACCAATGAAAATACGGAAATATGTTTCACTGCAGTGAAAAAAAAATTTTTACAGTGAAAACACGTATTATATTTCATCAATATTTTTCAATATTTCATTTATAAGTATATAATAAATATATTTTATTATTGTTATTATTGTATCTATTTATTTTTTACATATTACTAAAAAGAATATATTTATTTTTATTTTTTATAACTTATAGGTACATAACACTGCTCATCATAAAACGTTTATAGAAATAATTACAAGATCGTGTAGCATGGGACTCTGTATTATCGGCGTACTTAACTTTTCCTATATATCTGCATTGAATTTTATTGATGAATTTAATAATAAGGCAGTACAAATTCAACTAATCATTACATTTTTTTTATTGAATGAGGTCAAAGATTGTTTAACTTCATCGTATGCATGACCGCGCATGACAAAATACTGAGAGAGTTGCGCCGATAATACAATTTTAGAGTATATATGCATTTTGGCGTATTCATCAGGATTGTCAAGGGAGGTGACCGCTGTATGCAAGAAACAGCAGACGTGTTGCGCTTCACTCCCTTGCATAAAATTTTCCCGTTTTAAAGGGATAAATTCCGTCATTGAACGTTATAAGCATTCTAGATTCATCAAGTTGATTATTGTTTTAAGATTTCTTGTTATATTATTCTTCCTTAAAAGACGTTTTGTAATAGTGCTATGAAATTTTTGGTCACTTGGGGAAAAAAGCAGAATATTAAGAAAGATAAATTTTGAGATGTGATTGGATTTTTTACAGTCATTATTAACAAGTATGTGTATTATTTACTTTAAATCGGCTGTTAAGATTAAAATTGAAAAGAATTTTCGCTAAAATTATCCGCAACAAAACAAATTCTTTTGGATTTTGTAAATTTATATTTACTGTATTCCAGTAAACTTAGTTTAATTTAGTTTAATGCAATTATCCATGTTAACTTCATAATCTATTAACAGAGATATATATTGGATCTAACCCCATGCCATTGTGCGTTATGATTTGCAGAATAATATTATATAGAATCCTGAAATGATTTTCCAAACAGGATCACATGCAGATTTAAATACGGATTTATAACGGTGTATAAATTTTATCAAAACTAAATTGACCAATCGCTACTTTCGTTATGTCGAAGTTATTGGAAGACAGTCATGTGACTTAAGTCACCAATTGAAAATACGTTTAAACCCGCGTAAGTTAAAGCAATCGTCCTCCTGAAGGTGAGTGATCATAATCAATCGCCGATTATAACGCTCTGTGATTCACAAACTTGCTGGAATTTACGTTTCTGGATTGTCGAATGATTCTTTTATCATAAGCAAACAAATCTTTGCAGAGGATCATAATAATTTCATCGGAATAACGTTTAGATAAATAGCACAACACAACAGATTTAGAGGTACGCCATTGAAAGTTTTCAAGAGTTGCGTCCCTTTCAACATGTCTAATTATTTGTAAACAACTAATTTTCATGTATACTTTATAAAAATGTTTTCATTTGAAAATTTACACTTTCCATGTCACCATAATAAGTTGATTTGAATAAAGTTCCCATATCAGTAAATTTCTATACATGGTACAAATTATAAATGCAAATTATTGTAGGCACTTGAATAAGTGGCATGGTACAGTACCATGGTACTGGACACACAAAACCTGCACTTTCCGCATGGTTGCCGCAAACACGGTCTTGATATAAAGCAAACAATTTCGCATCAAACCCATGCAAATATTCACAAAATTTCAGCATATTTCTGCAGATATTCGCAGTACGATGCTTTCAGTGGTAAAATCAGGGTAATCATTCACTATTATGCTTACACATTTTGTATTTATAATAATTATATTTATTTGAATTTAATATGAAATTAGGCAAAGTTTATGAATGGGGAAGTCGGTTAAAAAATTGTTCATTTTTTCGTTTTAAAGGTGTCATTTGGTATTTTATGCACTGCTTCCATTTTCACTCGGAACACTCGACGATTATAATTAATCGGAAAAGTTGCGATTGTTCCGTTATCGGAATACACCACCTATTATCATTTAGTTACATTGAATATGGCAGCGCCCAATTAGAACTAACACTGAAAACTGACCTGTATTTTGAATAGTTAATAATATGAAATTAGGCAAAGCCTATTAACCGGGAAGTCGGTTTAAATAATTTTTAATTTTTATTTACATTTTCCATTTTAAAAGTGGCGTTTGGTATTTATGGTATTTATGCACTGCTTCCATTATTCTGGTTCCCTCTCCCATCATTGTTCCCATAGAAGTGTGCAGGGGACCTGTCTACGCATCAGTTTTCAATCAGAATTCCTTATTCATTGTCTTGTAAGTCGAAAAGTTGCGATTGACCTATTATTAGAATACACTGCTGTTTATCATTGCATAACTGTGCCCAACAAGAAATGATACTGAAAATTTCGCTGATGATTATAGAATTCTACATTTTTTTATTATGTTTTTCTTTTTAGATAACAGTTTAACACGTGAAGTGTAAGGCGGGCTTCGCGGCCCAGGGCTTTGACTTAATGTGTGTTAGGGCTGTGCATTGCCATTTTTTTCTGTCACGATACGTATCACGATATTTGTTTTTCAAAACGATGCGATTCACGATATGTATTGCATACTTTGAAGAAATGCGATGCATATTGCGATTCTTATGTTGCGATAAGTATCCCGATACTGACTTTCAGACTTAGTATATAAAAATTTGGCCATTTGTTTACAGCATAATTATGAATATTATACAAAACTATAACAATAACAAAAAAAAATAAACTCTTTATCTTGTTGTTACAACTTGGTTTCCGATTTTGATCTTTTAACAATTTACTTTTCTGATTACTTAAGGATTAAAGGTATTGTTAATTATACCAAAACAGCAAACTGATATCTACTATTCTAACACTAAAGTCCACTACTGTAAATATGGCAGTTTAACATTTCAGTCTTACAATACACCACTAAAGATTTTTCTTGTGAAAAAAAAAATAGTAACAAGTGGTTAACAAATAGGTCAACAACTTTGAAAATAACAGTTTATCCGTTTCACTCTCAGTTTTCTCGAAAGATTTGTGCTCAACCCCAGAGTATTATTTTTTTTTTGAGTTTGCAAATTTTGCAAACACTCGACGTCCGGTCTTCCACATTATACAACACTGTCTACAATGTTCCCAAAACTCGTGATTTATATTAACTAAAGTGTCCCCTTCTATTTTTTTTGCAGTCTACATGTTTTCTGTTTGTTTGTTTTGTTGTTTTTTTTACGGGAAAATGATGTCAACGGAAATGAAAGTATAAATACGTGACGAATATCACATGGGAATGTTGTCATCATCACTATTTTAATCCGACATCAATTAAGTGCGACTAAATAAAATTACAAATTCATGTTTGTAGGTTGTTTTTTCTTGAAAACGCATAGATATCTAATTATTTTTTAATTATAAACAAGTTCATAGAACACCAGCCCATTTATATGGAATTGATAAAACTTGGTTAGTTACCGTTAAATGATTGCGGACATGGGGAAACGAGATGACAACGATGATATGATAATAGTCGCGCTTGTTCACATTCGGAACTGCCTCGGCTATTATCTACAATATTAACCTCGGAAACAATACAGATTGAAAGTAGTTCTACCACGTGGTTTACTGATGTAAACAGAAACAGAGATAATGTAAAACGAATGTATATATTTGACATCTAATGTCTGTTCCGGTAGTCTTATGCTTGAAAATATGTCCGACAACAATTTGTTATTTAAATATGCCCTCTGATGTTCAATTTTAAATAAATCCGACCAAATGTCAACAGGTTGGTTTTTTTGTACTTTCCGTTTCACAGCCACATTAGTAAATATATAAATAATGTATTGTTTGCTTTTGTACCTATGAATTCACTTATTTCAGGTGGACTTTTACTACATATATCGGAAATAAACGTGTCAACAACTCCCAGCATTAAATTACTATTTGTTTACATGTTTAGTTTCTTAGCGTAGGTTAGACCGGAATACCGCATCCGTTCTGTGTATTCATACTATTGTGTTCGAGGTCCTTATCTGAAGACTGACGGAAAGGGCCGAGTAGTTGCGATTGGCTTGTTCATTGTTTTCATCCAAGCCTGTTTTCTTTCTTCAGTCTTTCAAAAAAGACGTTTGTCCTTATATTCCTAGATATTGTTAGTGTATTGCGATACGTTCCCGCTATATCGATACATCGGGAGATGAAATTTGTATTGCATCGCAATATATTGGAATTTGTAATTTCATTGCGATGCATACATCGAGGACAGGGCAGATCGCGATGCATCGATTGGGGGTCCAAAGATAACAAGCCTCATCATGAAGGCTGGCTGATTATGTAATGGAATTGGAAGGTGGTTTATTTATTCATGTATTTGAGCATTGTATTTTGGAAGTCAAAGTCTGCCACAGGTGGTCAAAGTCATATTTTCAGAAGGTGCTTAGCTAAGTTAGTTAGGCAGCAGTCAATTTGTTTTGATAATCACGAATCAGATTAGAAATTAAATAAAATTTTGTTACATTATAGTTTTGCTGTTTTATGATATCTATGTTGATTTTTTGTGACAGCGCAATTGATAACAATTGTATATATTCTGCAGTTCATCTGTAAATAATTACCCTTAGTATCCTGTGAAGATTAAGATGGGAATTGTACCAGCCAGTAAACGGACCTTGAACAGTATCTTGCATTTTACTTTTTTACTCTTATTTTCTTTTTGTGGATTTTGGAATTCTTTTAGCTCTTTAGTCATTCGATACAATAGGGGGCTAAGTAGCAGAGATTTATTTACATTCATTCATGCTACTAAGACTCAAGTTTGAAGGTTGCAAATCGAACATGTATACTTCACTCAAAAAAGGCAATGGAAAGGAATCCATACTTAAACTGAGTCATTGAAAATGGAAGTACTGAACTTATAGCATGGCACACATTCCTATTTTACACTAATGTTTTCTTTTTAACATTTACTGAAAGTGAAACCTTTTTCTAACACTTAAGAATTAAGTAGTGTCACAGGAAATGCAGGTTTGGAATTTGCTGCTTCAAGTGTAAATAAAGTTTGCCAAAAACACAATGAATGCTCTGTTACTGAAATACTGCACTTAAAGGTCAAAGGACAGATTAAAATATGAATATGTAAAGTAATGGTATGTATTCTTGAATAAAAAATGTTCACAAACAGTCATGAGAATGACTTTGTCCATATATGCAAGGTTAAAGTACATGTACAGTACTTAGAGATTATTAAATGTTCAGATTTTGTTAGGGACATAATTGTCTTCTAAATGCAACAATGGATTTAAGTACTACTTTATACAAATTATGGCTGTGATTTGATCTTGACAATTCATAGATTGAACTATGAATCATCTAATTGTTGTAGTACTAAAAGCTATTACCATGTAAAATACAAAGTAAAAGAAAAATGTGTATCAAGATTTTCTTCCTTTAACAACAGTTTAAAGTTTAATTTTACTTTCCCACTCTCTGCTGAAAATAAATTATTCAGAGGTTATTTAACTTCTTACAAAATAAATTTTGCATATTCATTTAAGATCCGCTGAGTGCTATTTGCATATTGCCACTATGCTAAATCTGTATATAATTGAGTACAAGGTAAATGCATTTGAAATGTAAACAAGATGAAGTTGGAAAGTAAAATGAAAGTTTTTTTGTTAAGGTTTTGTACAATAAAGAGTTAAAAGAACTTTTTATTAATACAGAATGTGGATTGCTATCCAGTGATCTTAGGACGAAGGAATACGTCATGAACCTTATTATCATTGTCTGAATCGCAATATTTCAGACAGTACACAATGTATTTGTTACAGCCCTTATACAGTGTTTTGTCTGCAGTACTTGTAGGTCAAAGTCACTGATGTCAAAGGAAAATGCCTGTCCACTGTCCAGAGAAAATAACTTTAACATGTATTGAGATATATTATTGTAACATGGGCAGAATGTCACACACAAAAATCAGGTATCTGTGGCCACGGTCAAGGTTACGCATAGAACCTTGAGGTCAAAGGTCAGATTAAAAATTGTTTACATAATTTATATAATATGTTTTATATATATATATATATATATATATATATATATATAATAATATGTATGAACAATTTAGTAGTTTTAAATTTAGTGAATTTTTCACAAAATTTTAATGTTCACAGTTATCCAGGCCAATATACATGTATGTACATGCATACATGTAATCCAGGCCAATATATGTACATTGTAATGTGATGATAACTAGAGATGATGAAATACCGTAAAATTCCTAATAAACGCCCCCCCCCCCCCCCCCCCCAGGCTTTTTGAAAGGGAAAACAATCTACTCATCAGTACTGAACTAATAATT